GGGGGGGGGGGGTTGGTTGGTTGATTGTTTATAAGGGTCATGGGGGACTAGGGGGTTTGTATGTAGGGTTTATATAGTAGGGAGGGGTACTAGGTAAGTTAGTTGGTTGTTAGGGTATTGAGTTTTGTTTTGTTTTGTTTTGTTTCATTTCTATTCTGTTGCTTGTTACGTCGTGTAGGTATGTCGAAGTGAAAAAGGCTCTTTGTTTGTGTGATGAAATGCAAATGGAATTCAAGTATGCTATGCGATGCTTAGGGTTAGGCTTAGGATTAGGGTTTCCCCCAACGTCCTAATCGTAGCCAGTTTGATTATGGAGCTCTATTCTCTAATTAAGTACGGTCTTCCCTTTGAAAGACATCTAGCTAGAGTTGGAGAGAAGCCGTGGCTGTATCCTTAGACTTCTCTATCTCTTCGAGGAGTTGTAATGCTACTTTGGCGGTGAGGATGAGATTTCGGTTGGGTGTTGGTGGAGGCTCTTGAGATTGTGGTAGAGTTGTTGGGACGGGGTGGGTGAAAGTGAAGGCGTGGGTGTTGGTGGTGGTGGTGGTGGTGGTACTGGTACTGAGACTGACTTTTTGTGTTGGAGTTAGTTTATGTAGAGTGCTACTTGTGAAAGAAAGAGATATCTTACCTTGATTCTTGCCTTCGTTTTGGTTTTGAGGGTGAGCGTAAAAATGACGATGGAATTGATTTTGATTCTGATACACAGAGTGAATATGAGGTTGAAATTGAGATTGCGTTTGCATTTGAGAACCAGCAACGAAGGCAGTATTCAAAGGGTGATGATGAAGGTGAGGATGGGTTTGAGAAGTCGCAACAGCCACGATGGAAGAAGAGTTATCTATTAACCCTCCCGCCCTCGCTAGATCATTCACATCCCCTACTTCGCGGAATCTTTGGAGGAGATGGTGGATTTGTAGGCCTTGGGGGGTTCTGTTTTTGGAAGTGTTTTGTTAGTGGGTGTGAGGATGTTGGGTTTGTGTTTGGGGGTTTGTGGTGTTGAGTAGAGAGGGGTTTAGTTTGTATGTATATCTCAACATAAGTACTTGATGGGGCTTTTATACCATTTCAGGGTTCGATGGAACATGAGGGAAGGAGGAACATACTGATCCGCCCAGTCTTTTTGTAAGGGCAATCGGCCGGAGTAGGGTCTATAGGCTTGGATGGCGGTGAGTTCATCGTGCGTTGGGGGCCGGTTGTAGAGTTCGTGGATTTTTTGCGTGAGGGCTTTTTGGGAGATTCGGGGGTGGGTGAGGGGCATTTTGGCGGTGATGGAGGTTGTAGGGAGAAAGAGGTGGGTGAGGAGGGTGGTGTGTGGGATTGGTGAGGAGGGTGTGGATGGTGGTGGGAGGTTGTTTTGAGAGAGGAGGTTGTGGTTTTGGGATGGGAATTGGTGTTTTGTAGAAGGGGTTTTGAGGGGGGGAGTAAGTGAATTGTTTGTGGCGGTAGTTGGTATTCACTTATTCTTGTGAGGTGGGGGGAAGTGGNATGGGAATTGGTGTTTTGTAGAAGGGGTTTTGAGGGGGGGAGTAAGTGAATTGTTTGTGGCGGTAGTTGGTATTCACTTATTCTTGTGAGGTGGGGGGAAGTGGTGAGTGGTAAGTGTTCACCCTTCGAGTAGAAGGAAGAGGGTTTACGTAGGAGATTTAGGGTTGGGATTATGGAAGTATGGAAATGGGTTGGTTAGAGAAATAGACAAATGTGGGAGATTTGAAGACCCTAGGGGAATGTGTGTTTGTAGATGAGAGGGAATTGTATTTTGTTTGTGGTTTGAAGAGGGTTGGTGTTAGAGTTGTAATAGGGATAGAAAGGGGGTTGAGAAAATGGAGGGAGTTAAGGGATCTTAGGCGAATCTAGCTTTTCGGTAGCTAGTGTACTTTTATAATATTGTATCCCTCTAAAATACTAGAAGAACCGAAAAGATGTATATTTGAAGTAGAGTAGAAGTATCCTAATGTTTACTTCTATTATGATTCCTAGTAGGAAAAAGTTAGTTAGCTAAATAGATTACTAAGCGGCACTTCGACCTAGTAATCGTATTTACTTAAGCTTGAGTGATGCCTAACCTAGACTCGTCAAATTTGGCATGGACTAGAAATGAGAAGAGTTCGCCTCGGAGTACTTATCTTGTGCAACCCTTGTTTGCACTAGACTTGTCATCAGTTCCGAAAACTTAGCACGCATTGCTACACTTTTCCTGCCAAGCAGTTTGTCAAGTTTCAAGCTTCCTAGTTTAGGATATTGCGAGTACATACCACTGCGAAGGGTGACGGCGTTCACTGCATTAACAAGGAAGTAGTTATCGGGCTTTTTCTGCATGTCAAAGGACTGGCCAAAATCGTACTATCACATCGTACTGAAGATGTCCTGTACGTTCTGTTATATTTACTGGTGTTGACGAGTTTCTGCCTGTGCCCTCACAGCCTTTCGTGAGGGATAAATTGATCAACGTGTTGGAGCATGTTCGGTTTGAATGACTCCATGGCTTGTTTATCGATTTTATGGATGAGGACTCTCCGTTTGTGATGGTAAAGGACTTTATCAATGACCGTAACGATGTTATGGAGTCCTGGTCCTGGCTGCAGCGCTTGATAGCCCTTGAACTTTTGTACTGGAGCTTTGGCAGAGTAGATTGCTATAAGTGTTAACAAATGCCTACGGGATAGAAGATTGTGTCTTACCATGTAACGCGGTCGGTGTGTTGAAGACAAGCTTGTTTATTCCTTGAAGAAATACTGGCCCTGGGTTTGAATCTGTTTCATATTATCAGAGTCAACCCGCGTTCGATCTTGGTAGAAGTTGGCTACTGTACCTTTACGAACAGGAGCAAAATATTTGTAACAATTACATCCCACAAAGGAGCTAACGATCTGTTTTCAGAAATCCATGGTATTTTAATCAGAGATAGTAGAGAGATGAAGTTCGTATCAAGAGGACATACTGAAGTGGTGCGGGAATTTCCAGGGAGTTTTCAAAAGCTTTTGCTTTTATGAATGAAAGAGGGGAAAGGCTACTTAACTCTCACAAACGCTAATACTGCGTTACCAGAGTCTCCAGGATTCCTTATATGTATAGAAATACAATCTCTACCTCGTACAAAATCTGTTTTATTAGTTTGAAAGTTATAGCGTATTTGTCCTCAAAAAATAAGGGTATTTTCTAATCATATTCTAGTAGCCCTAACTAGAGGGGACTAGATCAAGACTCTATCATATAAAAGGGGCTCTATTGTATCTCCTGCGTGGTCCTCGTCCCGCCAAGATACATATTCGTGTTTAGCGAGCTCCTAATCTAAACGCGTCGTTTATATATATAGATTTATAAGGATTTTACGATCGCATTATCGAACAGATGTAGTGGTATATACGAATAAGAAACTCCGAAGTTTATATTTGTTTCTCTTGGTTTATATAGAAGTAGTATATAATACTAAATAGGATATTTTAATAAGGTTTACTAGAATCCACTTTACGCGCCCTGAAAAGACTCTGAACACTCCCTAATGGGACAAGGACTACGGACGAGATAGGAGTACAGTAAAAAAATCCTTTAATTCCCTACTTAGATTTGTCTCTTTTAGGACTTTCCATGTAAACGTAGATATATACCCCTTCCAGAGTCTTGAGACACAAAGAAAGCGCACACTCGAAGTGGATATAAGTAGAGACGATAACTAGGTCGAATTAATACTCGAATACTTGGAAAGTCTGCCTGATTTGCCAAATAAATTTGTGTCCTACGGGAAAGATGTTGTAAAAGGAGATGCTTTTACTCCATTTTGAGTAAGATTACACGTTTTTTTTGTGTCTCGATAATCTGGAAAGGATAAGAGGTATGTAGAGCATCTACGGTTCCGGCTTCTGCAGGCACATATCAGTGAGCCTTCATTGCGTCTGGTTGGCTAGAATCAAATTATATATGGTAGTGTTGGTGGCGCTAAATTCCATGCAGGAAAACTCGCTTAAGCGAGCCTACGATATATTCCAACAAATGCGAGATAACTACCCTGTCCCAGTTTGGCAAGCGCCAAGGATCATACCAATACTTACGTAGTAATGCCTGAAGTCATCCTACATTATCTTCAGGCGTGAAGGAGGTTTGGAGCTGGCTGATTCTCTGGCCATTTCAACTTGAAATATCGTACAGAATCCCGAGAACTATTCCTCCGAATTTTCTTTGGTCGGCGTATTCACCAAATCTATCATGTGAAGACTGACGGAATTAGGGTTGTTATAATTATATAATTTGGGAGCTGATTATATTATATCCATTATTATAAGAAAAAGCTCGTTATTATTTATTATTATGCCAAGACGCCCTAGTAGGGATACTGGCCCACTCCGTAGTATTTCCGGCCAATAGGAAAGACCAAGGCTTTCCGATGAACTTTTCATATTACTAGAGCGTGCTAAGTAGTATTTCCTAGTAAGGCTAAAGTAAGTAAAAATACTACCTAGATAGGAAAGATGTATATATCGTAAAGCAAAGTATATAAGGGCTGGTAAAAAACTATTTTTACCCTCGAAAGTCCCTTTTTCTACCCTATAATCATGCTTATTTTACTACTAAAAGTGGGGAATATAATCCCGAAAAGCTGATTATTATATAATATAACGAGAAGCTGATTATATATAATTATATAATTATAAAAGTACCAACCCTAGACGGAATGTTTCACAAAAGTGCATCGTGGAATTTTATGGCGAACTGCGCGACCTCCGTATTGGTAGAACTCCCACGCCCTTTTCAAGGATAAATACCCTAATTGGTCTTACGAGGGTGATTCTTTCGGTTATCTTTCAGCCGCACTGGTCACCTTCACTTGACCCAATGCGAACGTTACCGGGATCAATTGTTGCTATTATTCCTGCAGTTGCCCTCCCACCCTGTATGTCCAATAATTGGGTGAAGATAAACTCGGGGGATCTAGGGAAGCAGTATGTTAGAGCCAGTGTTAAGCCCTATCATCCGTGGGTTTCTCCGGTGGGCCTTCATTCCTATACCCATGGGGGTGAGAAAAAAGTAACGAAGGGGGTTTCAAAACTTCGAAGATGGTACAACAATCTAAGGAGATGTCCAGTAAGCGAGCGAGAGTGGTTCAAGTTTTCGGGTTCTTTTACAGAACAAGAGAAATATTTAGATATGCTGCCAATTGATACGGACAGACACAACGCTAGCCTCTACAATACACTGGTCCTAATTCTCTTTTTTGTCTTCGACCGAATCAATACTTGCTTCCCAAACGCTTTGACAGAGAGCCCAATACCAATCTGGAGCAGACCGTGCGTGTACTACATGACCGCTATTAGGAAAATTCTCCCTATACTCAACCACAAATCCATTGGCTTCAGCGTTATCAGCGTGCTCCTCCACTGTTCCGAAGTGAACAAATTTGTCTTCCTTGCTGTAGAAATACGCCCGGCGGCTTTCACGAATCCGTACAGTGTCACTATGAGCTTGCGCCCACACAGACGCTAGTTCCTGTATTCTGAAGATCTTGAATTTGAAGAACCAAAATATCCCTAGAAGGTGCAAAAACGGAATCGCGAGCGTGCGTACAATCCCAGAAGGAAGTCCCACCAGCACCGAGTCTTTCCCGCCAGGATAGGTCCAGCTTCCGGGAACCGAGTCGAATATGGTCGTGTGCCATGGGAGTAAACGATCTTGATAGTTCTCCGCATACAGATCGTCTAAATGGTAGACCATGCAGGATCCGCCATTGGAGAATACATGGATCAACATGCTAGGGGTTTTGCTTTTGTCGCTGCTGCCACCGATCTTTTCGGGATCAAGAACATCACGAATTACGTGTGTGGCGGGCATCAAGTCTCGTCGTGCCCTGCTAGGGCTGAAATAATATGGGAAGCACGATTTGACCAGCAAAATATGGGCATTGGGATAAAGCGCTTGATAGCGAACGATGTACTTGCCAATGTGTGCGTTGGCTGCATCCATCCATGTAGCGAGCAAGATAAGTTTTGGGGAATCTGTGTTGGTTTCGGAGAGACCATTGGGGCGGTAGAAGGAGACAGAATTCGAGAGCTGAGTATAGGTATGCTCGGTAGCTAATGCTGATTTGTATGAATGAGAGGCCATCGTGAACTTATTAAAGGTGCTCCGTGTCTATCTCTCAACGGGTAGGTCAATTGTTGATGAGAGCAGAACACACATTTGTATTTAATGTTTATTCTGCAAAATGACATGCGGAAAATATCCCAGATTGAGAATAGAATCTCATGCAGTCTGGTAGCGAATGGGTACACCGAGGCATAATCCGTTCCTGCAATCAACCTGGCCGCATATTGTGTTGGTCAATCCTTGGTCAATACCATTGGAATTGGTTACGAGTAACACAATATCCAATTACGCAACACCAAGGATACAAACTTGAATATATCGGAGCATAATTTGCCCGTGCCATTAGTTTGGCCATGGATGTAAGCCTGGAAACGTAGAAATTCCATAAAGCGCGTATAGCCAATCATTTACAGGACTGCTTGTTACATACAAGGCCATAGTACGCGGAACATAGAAGAATATTCTCCTTTTGGCGCCTTTCCATACTCACAGTTGTATTCAATCAAAGGCCTACTAAACATTTACAATGCTGCTCTGCATTATTACATTACTAGAATCATAGACTCATGCTACAATCATCAATGGCCTCTTCTGACGATCTGAGAAACGTTGATGAGCCAATCAATCAGACTGTCCCAACTTAATTAGAAGAGGACTCATCGTTAGCAACACCATACCTTACTGAAGCAAGTTTATGTATTGGCGAGTATAGGTCAGTACATCAGTGTTGCCAATGGTTGGTTATCCATTAAGATTAGGGCATAACCAAACCATACCAATAAGCCAGAGGTTATAGCCAATACCAAACCGTCCTTATTGGTGGTTATCCAATGGTTATAGTAGTTATCCAATAGTATAATGGCTCGAGAATGGTAACCGTCGGTTACTAGTGGTAACCGTGATTTTGTGAAGTTATAAATTAAAAAAGAAGCTATTTACACTTCCGATTCCTGCAATCTAAGCGATCGATTGTTGAGACATATCTGGATAGGTTTAGTAGTGGTATTAATGGTGGTGGTTGGATAATAGATGGTTGTGGTTGGATAATATGGATGGATAATATGGATGGGAATGTCAGAATAGCATCAAATCTATTACGTGTACGATGACTAAGCAGGATGACTAAGCAGAACACCAAAACCATCAAGAACCATTGGTAAACCAGTTATCATATATATCTATAACCAAACTGTTATAAATTACAGGTAAGCCAGACATTGCATAACCAACCCACTAAATCCGGTTTGGTTATGGTAATCAACCAATAAGTAACCAACCATTGGCAACACTGCAGTACATCCTTCATCTTGAAGAGTTGCAACTCTGGGATCCATGCTAACATCTCATGTGACTATAGTCTTTCTCCCAATATCCTCCTTTGATTACTTGAGGTGTCCAATATAAGCACCTCATTAATCACCACCAGCGATGACTTCAATGGATATGATGAGATCAGTTGAACTGTCTCAGCCTACTTTGTGACATATACGATTTAGAGGAATGATGGTGATATGATCAAAACGTAGCCATCTCATTGGCCTCGAGCCTACCTTATTGGTATGGCTGGGGGGCTTTTCAGTCAATGAAACATTTGTATGTGACTACCCTGAATCAGGTCTTCTCTTTTTGAGATCACGATATAATTGTATAATCAAAGAATCATATTTAGAGCCCTTTTAGGAATTAGCGATTCTGGAGTCTAATCAGTTACAACCATTGGCTTTATTCATATGATACGCCATCTCGCTATATATATATGCGCAGATCCGCGCAGTCGTATCTTGTATATAATATCACTGGTAATGATTCTGGGTCCACTTCTAAACGGATAGCTTTATTCAAGAGGTCTCCGCTAATAATATATTATTGTTTCTAGTCTCCCGGTAGGTTTATTTTGTATTCGTGTAAGCTGCTTTTTATCCAGAGGACACCTCACAATTGCAGTGATTGAGCTCCCCCAATGATATCAAATCCTCAATGCCAACTCGCCTTTGCAAGTCGGTGTAGAGCTTCTCGCTTACGTAGTCGCGTATCCTATCACCATTGTGGTGGCGAATACAACAGCTGGCAAGTTCAAAATGCTGTTGTTATATGTGTTGATAGCAGGTTGCCGACTTCGAATAGTGGGATTCTCACTTATATCAACTCTTTCCATATAAATGGCAAGCTGGAACAGCCAGTATGGATACAGTGTTGTTGTTGCTGGGTTTCGAACGGGCATAACTCTGGGAGAACCTCATGTGGTCATTCCCGTTACAGTCGATGCCCAAGATCAAGGTGAGTTAGTGAAGCCGTAATATTTATCAGAACACCCAGGGTGGAAGCGGGCAGAGAATAAGAGTTCTTACTAACGCATCAACCACTCACCTAGCACTTGCTATTGGTTCTAAACTTTCGTTTCGCATTCTTAGGGATACGTGGGCGTCGCTGTAGTAAGCTTTGCATTAAATGAATACATAAAGTCCCATATTCCCTTTGATTTCCATAGCCTCGAGCTCGACGCGGTTCAAGGCTCGACTCGAAGCATTCTTTTGCTGTCTACTGAGTTGCAGAAGGATGTCGCGCGGTTTACGTTGAAGGCTAAACTTACAGATGTGAGTAGCCATTGGTTTTGTGGCGCCTGTTCTTTGGCTACTGCTCTTATGTAGAAAAAGCTAAAACTTAGTGTGGGTATGAATGTATTTCTAGGACAAATTGGACAATAAGCCCACTTCAAAGTGTACATTGATAGTGCCTAGCTGTCTAAAACGAAGGAAAAGGGGCACCGATTTTAATGTCTTGAAGTTCCCATTGAAGAGCCTTTCTAATGACTTGAGCTTGGAAGGGGGGGTGTTTCCCCCCCTGACAATGAGCACGCACCACGAGTTCCAGTGAAAATAGGTGCTGTAGAATGAACTATATCTACTATTGGTATGCATTTTGAAGCCATCTGCTATTTCATAATGTCAGATTTCCCTTCGGCTGATGGCTTTTATATCCCAAAACACTCTCCTGAAGAACGTTTATGATCAGGTATCAGATTGTCGCATGCCTGGATTTTGCCATCAAGTGAAGTTCTCGGATTAGCGTCTCCAACGGCTGATGCGCTTGTTCTTAAGAATCGCTTGTAAAGCAACGATAAATATTCCTCTTCCCAGTAATTAAAAGCCCGTCATTTCCGCTTACATCGCGTAGACAGCGAAGTAGAAGAATCTCAATTAGTCCATGGTAATTTAGTAGTTTCTCTTGTCGTATTATGAATTATTGGGCAATGCTTCTTGTGGGTCAGGCTGGTTTTTTGAGAGGACCACGACGTGTTGCCTCTTTCAGGAAGAATGATTTATCGAACTCATGTTATTTAAAATAACACAGGTTTCTGTGAATGCGATATCATCGGATAGTCGGTGAAAGGTGGGTTTTTATATTGTCCTCGAATTAAGACACCGGACCATCCGTACTAGACCTCAAATGCAACACCGATGTTGCGAAAGGGGATAGGATGATAGACTAGCAGCAAGGCTTTTTTTTGGAGAGGTTTGGATTGTGAAACATCACATATTGAGTGATATTTCATTGCAATTCTTGAGATTTTGTATCTCTTGGCTTGGACGATTGCAGCGGTCTCTCAAAGTCTGGAGTTTCTTGATCAAATCGCCTTTGGTGAGATGCTGGGTCTGTCTAATAATACAATCCTTCCCTTCCACTCCAATATCTTTAGCCTGCTGGCTGGCCTTCATGACAACGATCTCGGCAAAGTTTACATGTATATTTAACTTAAATGCGCCTTAAGGAACCCATGGCTGTAAATATCCAAAGTGGCTTTGCCCTGGTGGTGATCATTGGTTAAGTACAACAGGATTCCAGAAGGATTGCAGCGGTAAATGTGTCGCAAGGGTCAGTGCAGCTCCGCATTTCCTATTAGGGTATGCTGAACATTATAGCATACTATTCTATGCCCAGTCAAACAGGATTTCGAGACATAAAGGTTCTTATTGCCACACATATCTGAAAATCAGAGGCAGGGTGTGGAGTAGAAACATTCAATAAGCGAACGATAGAGATATATGTTAGTAGCATTAAAATCTTTCACTTGGTACCCGTCACTACCCCCCTTTCTACTCTCCTCTCCTCTCCTCTCCTCTCCGCAAGTAACACAGCTGTTAAGCCTGATAGAGAAACACTCGATACAAAGCGGCTTAATGGCCTTCCAAATCCAGCTCATCGAAGAAAACACTAATAGGTTACCACACACTTCCAAGGTCAGACCTGACATAAACGAAGCTGTATAAGCAAGCAGCTGGTTCCATTAAATGAAGCAACTTGTGGATTACAGCATCTCCTAAATAAAACATCCAGAATCTTCGGGGAAACAAAGCTAGGTCAGCATTTACACCGGATTTGAAGAAAATCTTATTACCACAAGCTAGGAGAAGTTGTGATAGTCCTACCTGCCCACACTTAATACGGTGTCCATCATGCAATCCCTGCTTGCTTGCTTAACACAAGTACTTGTTGTGCTGGGTCTACTTTCTCTTTTGCTCCACTTCCTTATTTGATCCACTTATAGTTCTGCTGCCTAAATGCTTCATGTCTGCCTAAACCTTATACTCTTTATATAAACACCTTAGATAGCTACCTTTTACAATGCAATCAATTCTCCATGACCTTCAGTACCCAATACCCTTTCAACCCAATAGTACTGTAGCAACATCCTAAGTTAAAAGCTATGAGAATTCTCGGAAGCATAAATCCACTGACCAAAGAACCTGGAAGATACCAAAACTTCCGTGCAGCTGATAAAAGTCCGCGGGGAGGCTCTGGGGTTATTGAAATAGACCGTACAGTCGGGCTCGTCTTGAGATGAGTAGTAAAGTGCTATTTTGGCTGTCGATTGCCCAGAAAGTGACCTAGTATTTGTAATATTGGTAAAGAAATACTCGGTGGTTTCTGCTGGTTTGTTTTAGATGGCTTGTCTAGCAATATTGTGCCCTCCGTTTCCAATCCTTCAGCTTTCGAAAGTGTTGGAATCAAAAGTCCTAAAGCCGATCAAGGGATTGAATCCCAGTCAGGCTTGTCACAGGATGGCATGACTGCCCTCTCACTTCTCAATAAACAGGTCAACAAGTCCGTAATAGTGCACCAGTATTTCACAGAAAAGCCATCGCGAATCGGAGCCTAGGTACATACTTGTCCCCTATGAAAGGCACTTAAGGACGCAATAGCGTCTAACCGTGTAGCGTAAGGCTCTCCTACGTTCTCATCTGATCTTGGAAATTCTAGTAGTCAAGTCGGCTAAAGTTATTGCTGCAAAGACGTTTGCAGACTCTCTCGCAAAGAGAAAATTTCGACGATTGGACAAGAGTGAGGAGATGAGACCTGTCGAGTCGGTCGCATTCTATGCGATTGATGCAAGTAGGAGATGGTAAAGTGTTACTGAATTTAGGTAGTGGTGATGACGACTGAAGTACTGAGTGAACATGTCTTTAAAGAGCGTTCTTCGAGGGCGGACTTGCTCTAAAGAAAGCCAGGAACTATCGTAGAGATGCTCGTAAGAGAGCACCAAAAATAAACGCACCCTTCAACATTCGAATAATGAAGCGCATACGTTTCTATCCACATCACTTAAACAGCACCATGTACCTCACGCCACATATGAAAACCTCCCCAGTCCGCATAAACAGATATGTATCAAAACCGGACGCAATACCATCCATTCATTCATTCAATGCCCTCGAAAAGAACAATGTAACCATCCACGGTCTCCAAAGCCCCATTCAAACGACCAAACTCACCGCTACGGACCCCAAAACGAGAGGGTCCCGAGAAGTTGAGCCCGATAATACAGTGGCAACCCGTCGAAGGGACGGCTTACCATTTAGAGCTGCGCATGACAGTTCCCGACAGATCGGGAAGGGGGGCCTTGGTTTAATCTCCTAAAGCCCTTGGAAAGATGAGATGAGTCAGAACGGTAACGCAGCGCGGGAGGAGGGAGGGGATGCCAGATTCGGATCTTGCATGAAGGTGATCGGAGGAGATCAGCGGCTGGGATGGACGAATGGAAGGAAGGAAGAATGAAGGGAAGTTCGGAGGATTTATGGCAGATGGAGAGAGTTTGAGATGATGATGCTTCGAAACAAGTCGCATCTCTCGTTCGTGCGGTGTGTTGAATCATTATTACTGTACTTAGCGATGTTTGCATGATGATGAGCCCTTCAGATATAAGTTTGTTGAGTGGTTGCCACTGCTTGGATGGGATTAACCCTACGACGATGATTTCAACTGGTGTTAAGCACCTGTCAAAAATGACATGAAACTTGAAGTCGGGATTCCCGAAAGGGTCAATCCCTTGGTGGAGTTCATTATGGCCTTGTGAGGAGTCTTTTGAGGGATAAGGGGTGTTGAAGAACAAGAGTTTTGGGATGCGTCTTGCATGTTGCTTGTTGTTGATAGAGGTGGTTTGAAACCCGGTTTCGTTTGCCATTGGAAAACCGGTCGTTTCTCCCAGATACTGTTCGTCGGTGGTTGAATTCCAAGACCAGAAGTAAATTTAGCCTGGAAAGCTCAAGTACTGGATAAGAAGTCAGCTCTCGGAGTTTTCTCGTCTGCCTTCGGAGCCGGAGCATTATTCTCAACAGGACTCGCTACTCGCAGGGTCGGGGTCTGGTACTCTTCAGGGTCACCGTTCGCTAACTATGGTCGAATCCAATGCTCGCCTGACCGCACGGATCTTTGATGTTCCTTCTAGCGTCCTTCTAGTGTCCTTCTAACATCTTTCTAGAAGCAAAATGGAAGGTTCGTTAGAAGCCCCAGCTGTTCTGTTTGGAAAGAACGACATAGGTGGGGCCAGGGGCTAGGAGAGGGGTCTGAGCAGCTGAAACGGTGGGGTGAGAGGTTTGAGGATGCGATCGATACGATGATGCTGAGAATGAGATAAGGGGATCACAACGTGATGTGATGTTGATGTACGAAGAAGGATTTACCGTGGCTACATCTATTTATGTGATAAAAAGCAGACAGCCGGATCATGATTAGCAAAAATAGAAAATCGCTCTTGGAGTTTGACGGCGCCATGTAGATTGTCGGAGGGGAATCCTGATGTAATTTACTCGGTACGGCTGTTGAGCATTGATGAGCTGATGTACGAAGTACGAGTAGCCGATGAGGGGTTCTCTCAGTTCATTGGTGACTATATTGGAAACATTAATATAGGAGCCAGAGTATTAATGGACCTGGGTAGATGTTGTGTACCAGTACTGTACCCAGGTATGTATGTTATGAATAGGTAGGTACTATACTATCAGGATTTATTTGGGCTTGGATTTGCGGTAAATATAGTAAATGTGGTAGATCTGTACAGGACGGCTGAGAGTGGCAATTCGCCGCGAGTCCTCTGATTGCGACCCCTGCAAGCCATGCCGGGAAGAGAGCCATCGCATCGCATCTCAAATCCTCGCATCGGCGCCTTTGCCTTTGCCTTTGAGCCTTGCCACTCTGTACGTAGAGAAGACAACACCATCGCACTCAACCACCAAAAACGAATGGCAGCTTCCTAGACGCTTAGCCAACATCAGCAGTCCTCAACATCCAATCCACATCCACATCCACCATTACATCGTGAGACGACGCCGCGCGCCATCAGCCCGTTGCGTTGCGAGCTGCACGTTGGCATTCCATTCTGGCATTCCCAAACCAAGCGAACTAGTCCTCCTTCTGGCCGCCAACACTGGCAGTGTTGCCACCTTGCGATAGTCCATCTATTCACATTTAGTGATCGCGCTTGTGCAGGAAATACCTAGGTACCTCTTCCAGAATCCCAGCGCCGCCCCGCCACGCCACATGGTGAAAGCAGCGTACTCGAGTCTCGACGACTCATAGCCACAGACACAGCAGACTACCGTCACCAGACTTCTCACCTCAGACCCCAGACAAGAATTCGAGCCCGTAAAGAAGAGGGACGGTGACGGGTTCAAGAGCGCGAACGCGCGAAACCAACAGAGGGCACGTCGTGTTCCCCATTCGTCTGCCACCAACTGCCCTCCACTGGATGTCTTGGGTCCGCTAATATTGACAACTGCCATCCATGAAATTGCGATTCGCAGGGAATACTCAAACTTACCGCAGTCTATTTCTGGGCCTGACGTGGGCAAATCCCTGTCGCCTCGTGTCAAGCACATTTTCTATGCTGTGTGGATGCCTTGTGCCTCGCCTCACGTCTGCACTCTTCGACCTTCTGTGCGTCCCCAACGACACTTCGCTTCTGTTCCCCTTCTCCTGGGGCACCCCAGCCGCAAAACCACTCCACTACCGGTGCCACTCCACTGACTGCGCAAAGGCATCGAGTCTTCCAGCCTAGGTTACTGGTGAAACAGCGGCAGAACTTTCACGTCGCCCATCGTCCATCGGCACATCTTTGCTCTCTCGCCAGCTTCCAGTTCGTCTCTAGACCGCCAGTCGTTGACCATCTTGGAAAGAAAGGGGGTCAAGAACAAAGCTGCTCTTGTCTTTACAACACAATCTATTTGGTCTTCCGCACATCCTTATTTCCTCAGACTTCTCTCACCAAATTATACTTTCTTGAGTCACCATTCATTGTTGATCTTTCATCAAACCCTTTCCAAGGCTCCTCCCAAGCCTCAACCGCCCAGGTAAACATCTCTTGGGCAGCATCATCTCACACAAGGCCTAGTCAAGCGCGCCTTTAAACAAATCCCCTCTGTTCACGAGCCAATCACCTTTTTTCCCTCTCCTCTACGAGTCCCCTGACTCACTTCCCGAGGGATCCCCCTTCCAGAAGGACGTTCCATCATACCTCAGACAAACCCAACGCCCCTGTCGGTCCGTTCTCGTCTCCCCTGTTCAACCGCAGCCACGCTCACGCACCACGTTTCCACCACATTTTCTCCACCAGGGCTAACATTCCTTCTCACCTTATCCTCAATATAAGACTCGTGGCTCCCCTGTGACCGTACCTTTTTCCTTTCGAGATGTCTACCAGCAACTTGACTTCGCACGCTTCTCAAACTCCAGCTCAAGAAGAATTCAATAACCTTGTCAGCCGTGCCTCAGCTTCCGAAAAAGAAAATCAACATCCAGGAGATCGTGGAGACTACCAAAACGACAAAGAGAACAGCGACGTAGACGAAGACGACGAGTATCTGTCTAAGCGACTAGACGAAACCATGAGGATGCCAACTTTCGATCGTTTCCCTGGCTCAGGATCAGGAAGTCTCAAGCTTCCTCACAGAGACTTTGATAATGGACGGACAACCGGTGTCAAAGGCGTCATTGCCGATGCAAGAAGTTACGAGGAAGCAAGACGCAATGGAAGCCAAAAGAGAAATGGAAACAGCAGATCAAACTCAGTTGCCAACAAGCGAGCGAGTACTATGTCATTCTTGAAAGAGGACGGAGAGGATAGCGAGGAGGAGGATGAAGAGTTCGTCGAGAGATGGCGACAACAACGACGAATGGAATTAGAAAGAGAAGGAAACGATATTCGAAACCGAAGAACCAGTCCAAGTGTAAGACGATATGGGCGGTTCGACGAGGTCGACGCATTAGGCTATTTGGACGCGATCGAGAAGGTTACGAGAGACACCGTCGTCGTTGTGTTTGTCTACGATCCAGAGGTACATTTTTCTTCACTCACACTTCATGCATCAACACTAACCCAAGCTACAGTGTGAAGTGTCACAAGTTATATCGGATGCTCTCCAGCCACTTGTATCCAAGAATCCATCCATTCACTTTGTCCGAGTCCATTACGAAGAAATCGAATTTGATAATGCCGGAGTTCCGGCAATTCTTGCCTACAAAAACCAAGGAGATCTTTTCGCAAATCTCACATATATCATCGATCAGATACCAGAAGATACACCTTTCGACACCAAAGCCCTGGAGAATGTCTTAAGAAAGAACAATGTTGTCCGATGAATCCGTCTATCTCTCCCAGACTTCGACACGCCGAATGATTAATTCCTTCACATTTCGCATTGTGTCTTTTTTACACTACATACATCTCATAGCGAGGCGCCCGGTTCCTTTTCCAGTCTTCCACTTTTATACCAGCAGCGAACCATACTCTTCAACCATCATGGACGGCTGCTCTTCGTTATAATTTTCTTTCGTTGTATTCATTCATGAGGAATTTTGGGCTGGCTATCTTGTTTTTTCTCCCTTTTTACGTTTTTACGGTGCATTATTGAACTTTTTCATAAAATCATACCCCCTCTTTAACATGAGTTAGTCAAGAGGATTAGAGAGGACCGATGGAATCGGGCGGATACGAGTTGGGGGTCATGAAGAGACCGCGGATTTAGAGGTGGGAAATGCGATTGATTGATTGATTGATTGATAGCCAAAGAATCTTGTTCAAAACTACCTACCTGCCTATCCACGTTCATGGTGTCTTTACGTGCGTTCCACTCGTCTTTTTCCTGTTCGGCGCCACTGCCCATGAACGTCGGAACTCTCCATCAGGTGGTTCTTCCTTCCTCAAGCTTTGTGACTACCATAAGCTTTTGTTGGGTTTACGGGATTACTCGTACCCAGGTAGGTGGCTGGTGGCTGGCTCATGACAAACCTTCCTTCCCTCGTAAATTCGTAACGAAGTTTTTTTCTCTCCTCTTCTTCTTTTCATCTCGTACGACGTACAACGAAGTACAACGAAGGAAAGGAATTTGACTTTCCCATCTCTCCATCATTACTTCGTAAAACATTAAATAATTCCGAGACTCCGGATCTCCGCCCCATCACCACCATCCCACCATTCCATCCCATCCCAAGTTTACGAAGTAAGTAAATTTAAGTGTCTTGTCCGCGTCCTCGGGCCTTCTCGCACGGACGGGGTATGACGACGTGCCGTGCCATGTCTTTGGTAAGAGTTTATTTGTAGGGGTAAAGTAAGGTAAAGTAAGGTAAAGGAAAGGAAAGTATGGAGAGAGCACTGGTATTTTTTGGGATGGGAGATGGGATGGGAGTGTGGGGTTGGATGAGAGATGGATGACGGAGGGAGGGTAGTTCTTGTGCGGTGGGTACGAGGAGGCCCTATGAGTACTTGTGGATATGGGGTTTCTGTCTTGGGTTTTCTCGGTTCCTGGAGTTTTGGGACTTGGGACTTGGGACTTGGAACTCGTTGTCGGGACTCGGGGGATTGAGTGAGTACCGGTGTATACTGCAGCTTTTGATACAAATTCAATGATATTGATCTTCGTCTACCTAAGAGTTTACGGAGCTATGTGTCTATCGTTCTAGGCGCTGTTTTGCTGAGCGTGTGGGTTGGAAGATCGGTGAGTCAAGAGATCAAGAGAGGTATCTGTTTCTGTTTCTGTTTTTTTTTCTCGGCGTGAGGTCGGTATTACAGTGTACATGAGTGGGAAGTATCAGCTACTTGTTTTGCTTCGAAGTAACAGAGTAACGCGTGCTTTTTGAGTTTGGTCCCATGTGTTTATGGAGTCAAGTGGGCAAGTGCCGTCTCTCATTTAAGAAGCTTTTGTGGAAGGTTATCGTGGACGTGGTTAAGTTCTTTTCGTATTGCTACGAAGTACTTTAGGCTTCCTTTTAGGAAAGGACGAGCGTTATACTTTGTCCCAGGAGGCCAGGAGTTGGATGGAATAGGAGAGAAGTGGAAAGTCAGTGTGCCTTTTTCGAGGGGATTACTCGCGTTGTTGTGAGGTGCAGATAGGGAAGTTACGTTATATACCGGTACTTCTTTTACCTGGCAGTCGGGACGAATGGAAGTAAGAGAGGTAGTTATAACTATACATGCCTGAGTTATGATCATGCCATCCTAAGAGCTTGCAAGTGAAATAATTAAATGCTACGAATACCGTAGAGAATAAGTATTACGTTTGGCTTCTTGTTGACCTAGGTACTCCGTAAAAGGACAACAAAGTTTTTTATACCAGACTTTTGGTATAACAACTTTTTTCTAATAGCGTGTACAGAGTAATGACCGGGTTCATTACTTCTACTTCCCCCTGCCACCCCCCCCCCAAGTCCCCCAATTTAAATGTTATTTCTGATAGCTGCATGGAAAATTCCGAAATCTGTACGAAGTATGGCGAAACTACCGTGCGCCCGCAAAACAATAAAGTTCACGATGAATCTCTAATGACAGCCGGGGAGGAGAAGTCATGGCTGAAGCGGAATGTGGGTCGTGGGACACGGTAGTTCGAAGAGCTATGCTTATTCTCTAAACTGTACCGAGTAAGTGGTCTGAGACTAGTTTTTCTTGGTGGTGATAACCTTCTCGATCTGTGATTGTTTTTCTGATAAGGGAAGGGTGTGATGGGATGGGCTTTGTTTGAACTTTGTGGATTTGGGATTCTTGTTTATTAGGGTGCATTGCTGCTGCCTTGGATTGTGATGTGATGGTATGGAAGGGTATCTGTTATCAGGTATACTGACAGGTGTTTCCACCATATGCACCCAGGTGGACCAGGTCTTATTCCAGTTTCAGTCTCTCGTACAACCTTCAAAGGAGACACTATTATATATATTTCTCGTTCGCTCTCTGAGTTATTAGGCTTCTTGGTTCATTCAATACAATTCTTATTCTATCACTCTGGATTCTCTGGCATTCCACATATCCTGTTCAACAGTATCTGTTGAGGATTTTCATCTTCTTGGATTCTCTCGATGTCACTTTTGTTGTTCTGCGCTTTTGAATCATTTTGTTTGATCAGCTATCTTAAGTCTTGAGATTGAACGTGGTTATTTTTAAATTTTGGAGAGAGAAGTCGCACTTTCTCTTGTAGGTACTTATAACAAACTATGTTACCGTGGCTTGAAGCTATTATTAACTTGCTAGAATCTGCTCAGGTAAAATAGGCAACAGGCGTGCGAAGAGAAGTCAAGAGGGTCTTGGACATTTGGCTAAATATTCAGATGATAATGGCCAGCCAATATGTTTTTGCACGTGTATAGAACTGTCAATGTTTATTGTATTCTCAATTAAGCGAGGTTGCGCTTAGAACGTAAGAGGTTCAGAACAAGGCAGACTCCTTTCCTCAGGAAAACTGTCCTTACTTGAACGTAATACAGGAAGATTCATCAACCAAAAGTTCAACAGTTGGCATCTGGAAATGAAGTATGAAGTGTCTGATGACTCTTACTCGCTCATTGATATTTGTCACATGATCAAGAATGCGCGTGACCATCCGGCTTAAAGCCGACCTCGGGACGTCGTCGTCTGGGTGGGCTTCATCAATGCCATCCGTATCGCGATATGCAATCAATCCCACAATTTTCGTTGCGAACTGGATGAGACTACCACGGGAATCAATTGCCCGAGACGTCTCGACCACGCTCCAGTACCTATAGCAGTACCCGTACCCTCGGCCCACCTTGGCTTAAGCTAAGTTGCCGACACGCCCCTCATTCTAGTCCCCCGCCTCCAAGCGCAGGAAAGCGCCCCGATCAAAGCGTTGGAAGCATCTCAGGAAAAATGTCTCTGGGGACAACATCAGGCCCGACGACATTCATACCAGTACAAGTAGCACCCGACCATTCTCCTGCAGCTGGCCCAGCTTCCGGTCAGCAGCAGCCACAGGATGCCACCCCGCAACACAAACGGGTCTACCAGGCATGCATTGTAGGTCAATTGTCATTCCCTCTCCATCACAACCCACAACCCAGCTTTGGATAGCAAAGGCAAAGGCAAAAGACTAACACAATGCCCTCACTTAGCCATGTCGCCGCAGAAAGGTCAAGTGTGATATGGGAAGTGTAGACAATCCCCACGATCCCCCGTGTGTACGATGTCGACGAGAGAGCAAAGAATGCTTCTTTTCTGCAACACGGCGCAAGCGAAAGACCGACGACGGTCGAGAGGATAGCGCAGAAGGTTATGAATATGGCGACGACTACACAATCCGCAATGGCAGAAAAATGGTACATACCTCTCCTCCGGCTCCGGCGCGACAAAATTCCATGGGAGCTCCTCCATCACGCTCGGGACCTGCTCCATGGCCAGATAATGCGCCAATCAACCCAGGACCTCCGTTGACTCCAGGAGGCTCCATCGGACGATCGCAGCCATTGCGCAGACCACACAGCAACCATGACATACGCAGAGATGATACTGGCAACACTATAGCCAGAGATGACAATAATCGAAACCCAAGCGACGAGTCCAATCCGCAGCTGGAGAACCTCGAAGCTCAAGAGGTGATGCGGCGGGAGGTATATGGCCCTCATGATGCCTTAGACTTGTTGTATAAAGCAGCCAATTACAGGCAAGCCAATTCTCACATTTTGCAGGAACCACTGCTAACAGATCATAAAGCCCGGGTCATGCACGCGGCATATCTCAAGGGGGAAGCGGCGGTTTAATGTCTCCAGTGCATGCAAACAGTTTACCTAGGAATTTACAGCAATCTTCACCACCTCGGCCTCGGAACCTGTCCTTGCCTGTTACTCCGATTAATAAAGATCCTACCATTGACCCAGCATTAGCTAATGCTGGTCCAAATGGGGAAAACCTGACGGATGACGCTGAGTACAAGAGTGCTATCAAAGCTTGGTCGAGATTCCGATTTGTTCGAGCGGGATGGTTCACACCGGCAGAGGCCATCGAATACATCTCATAGCATGTTTTCTGCCCAGATTCTCCTGGATTTTACTGACAGACTACCTAGCTATTACGAATATCTTTCGCCCCTAACTCCTATTTCCCCTCCCACATTCAAAGATCCTTCTACCCATCTTACTCTTCTGACGGAAGAACCGATTCTTACCGTCACACTCTTGACAATATCTACGAGATATCGACAAATGGAAGGAGCTGGAGGTCATTGTCGATCTCACGCCATACATGAACAACTCTGGACCTATCTCCGTGGAATGATTGAAAGATGTTTGTGGGGTCAGGAAGCATTCGGAGGTGGGTTTTGTGGATCTGGAGCAGAATCTGGACCACAAACTTCGAGCACCGCTCCGTGGCGAGGCTTGCGAAAGGGAAGCTTGCGGACTTTGGGCACGATCGAAAGTCTCATGATTCTGACGGAATGGCATCCTCGTGCTCTTCATTTTCCTCCAGCTGAGGCAACGGATGAACTAATGCTCCCCTCCTACGAAGCACCAGAAACGACCAGCAGTGAGGATGGTCATCAACTTCCAACTGGACTGAAAACAATTGATAGCTGGCTAGAACCTGCGTGGAGAAGTGACCGAATGTGTTGGATGCTTCTAAGCACAGCAATGGGCCTTGCGTATGAGTTGGGTGTTTTTGATAACATTGACGAGCTACTAGCAGCTGGAGGCGAAATGACAAGACCTGAGTACGAGGATGAAGCTTACCGATTGAGAGCCGCAAGAATCAAGAGACTTCTCCTGATATATGTCACTCAATTGGCCGGCCGCCTTGGATGGACGAATATGGTTCCTGAAAATCTTCGTGATACGGACCCTGTTTTTGCACCCCGTAAGCGAAGATTCTCAGCCGAGAGCAAAACTCCTGAAACAACAACCTCCATAACCAATACCTTCAACTATATTCCTGATTTGGAACTTGACGACCAAATCATCCATTGCTGGGCAGGTATTTGCAATGCAATGCGACTTGGAAATGAAAAACTCTTCCGATCAAGGCAATATACCACAAGCATCATTCAAAATGGAAGTTATGTTACGCTTCTTAAAGAGTTCCAACCGTTACTTGCGAATTGGAGAACAGAATTCGACCGTTTCCGGCTACCGCAATATATCCGACATATTCTTTCAATTGAGTATGAGTACGTCAGAGTATACGTTAATTCGTTGTCTCTTCAAGCCGTTGTTGAACGATGCACTAGCAATGCTACTCATCCCAACAACCTGGGCCAGGCTAACAATGGAAGCGCAGCAGCGAGTGCGCCTTTATCACCCGAAACGCAAAGCTATTATGGAAAGTTACCACTTGCAAGACTCGGTGGTTTTGGTGCTGATGACCAAGGCTATGTCCGTGAAGTTGTTGATGGAAGCCGTAATCTTCTACGTACGGTTGTCTATGGACTCCTTCCTGATGATTACCTTAAACATGCACCTGTACGAACTTACTTCCGCATTATAAGCGGTGCTATGTTCTTGCTAAAGACCTTTGCATTAGGTGCATCAAAACGAGATGTTGAGATAAGTATTGACTTGATGGATCATGCAGTAAACGCCTTGAAAGGTTGTGTGGTCGATGACGTTCATTTGGGAATTAGGTTTGCAGATCTCTTGCAAACATTGACATCGAGACTTCGCACTCGGTTTATCAGTGCCCCGAAAAACTCAGCTCCCACAACTGGGGATGAGAAGGAAACGCGCAGTCCAGTCATGCATCAACAAGAACCAGATGCGAAGAGGATCAAAACAAACCACTCAGAGCAAATCCGAGACTGGAATGCCGACACTCCTGCTTTTAGTGGCAACATGCCAAATGGTACAATACCCCTTTACATACGCTTTAATTGAGACCTCGCTAATCATCAACTTTAGACCTTAACATTTCAGCAACACCATTCAATCCGGGACCGTTCTTCGGTGCAAGTACCCCCTACAGCCAAGCAGGATCTGCTTATGGCGGCACAAATGCGCACCCAGACTTGTCGGATGTATTTGGTGGCACCGGTGATTGGAATGCCAGTAACACTGAATTCTGGTATCTTCCTCCCGGCGCAGCTTTCTTCCAAAATGGGAACGATCAAGTCACCCAGACGGCCGATGGGGTCAACGTCGGAGGACTAGATTTACTTGATTATATGACTCTTGATAATGGACAAGGTCTTCATGATTTTCAACAATGAACAACAAAGCATAGCGGTTGGGTGTTTGATGGCGTTTTTTATTTGGGGCACTTTGAGGAACATGTTTTCAGCGTTGAGTTTTACGGGGCGTTTTGTACCTTTTTTTTCTTCTTCTCTTTCTCTCTTGGGAGCGTGGCGTTTGGTGTCTGACGGTTCAATCGTAGGGAGATATCAACATTGCTTTTTCCTTTTCCATAGGCGTTACACAAGAGGACTCTGGCTGGGACTTTCTTTTGCTTGAGCTGGGTTGCGTTGGGTTCTTCTACTTTTGACTGGCTAGTAGCGTGAGGTCATGCCGGTTAGATAGGCAGGTAGTGAATCGTGGACCTTTTTTCTATACTTGATGTTTGAAAATATTGTGGTTATGTGTTACCCCAATACTGCTGACTACCGCCCAATGATTCGATGGCTGGAAATGAGGCATGTCGCACTTCCTCCCTGCAAATCAATTCACCCACTTGGTTGATCATGGGATGGTCCGATGTACCGTTACTACCGTACGTAATGTAAGGTGTGAGGAGTGGACAGTGGACTGGTCAATTGTATCTCGCTTAGTGAATTACATCTCGCTTGGTGAAGGGGTAATAGGGGTAAGGGGTTGGTTATAAGTGAATAATTATGGATTGTGGGTTAGAGTAGCTTGTTTACGTGATACGTTCGTAGGTTGATGGTGATGCGACTCTAAATATTTGGTTTCTTTTCCCTCCTGGCGAGTAAGCTTAAATTTGTTACAGTGTTATATAGAAGTCCTTGTATGCTATGCTCTTAGTTAAAGGGGGATAGTGAGATGTGAGGATGTATACACAACTAACTTCTTGAGATTTTATTTCCTTTTACGGTACTTAAAAAGAGTAGGCTAAGAGAGTAGGTAGGTAGGTGATTGATGACCACATCTCTCCAACGCACGGTGGTATCATTATTACAAAATGAGTTTCATTTTCTGTAGCTATAATAATACAAGTGTGGTGTGCCCATTTATGCAGAAACATTCTCCTCCCGTTGGATTTGATTTGATGTGATTCAGTGCGCTATCTGAAATCCAAATTCGCGGTCTGGTTTTCAGCGTTCGTGGATACCTTTGGATGCAACTAGCCATGCGAGCGAATGGGATGCTCACGGAACTCCATCTTAGGTTCCTTATCGAGAAGGCCGGTCTGTACTCGTCAATCCATCGAGAATAGATGGGAGTGTTATGTTGGAGATTTCCTTGGGCTTCTCCTTAGAGACAGTATCCCAAGAAGTATGGTGATACAAGTTTAGAGGATATCTAATCCCCAGTACTTCAAGGTCTCACCACCCATCAAAGTTGCCAAATCCACCTGCCTTGGTTTTTTTCTTTGGCGGTCCCATCTCCAGATCATCATCAACAGTAGTTGATTTCGAGAGACTCGAGCTGGAAACAGTCTTCAGGTACTTGCCTACTCCTCCAGATTGATCTGTCTGCTCTACAGTCCCATCGTTTCGAATACGTTTGCCTGTCCAGGTGGTTTTATCATCCTCGGTTCCACCCTGCCTCTTGATTTCCTCTTTCTCTTTCTCGGCGACATCCTTTTCATGCTTCTGTTTCTGGAACTCCTCGAATGGATCAACGAATACAACGACATTCTCCATGACGATATCATCCAAAGGACGGCTTTGGGAATCCACAGACACGTTTTCCAGTCTTTGTAGAACTTCCAATCCGCCGACTACTCGGCCGAAAATTGTGTGTTTCCGGTCGAGATTCTTGGCTTGTCGATATGTTATGAAAAACTGACTGGAATTTGTGTTCTTGCCCTTGTTAGCCATACTCATAACTCCTCTGTTATCATGTGTCAGTGGTCCGTCAAATTCATCGTTGAAATTCTTTCCCCATATGCTCGTACCACCCTTTCCAGTTCCTGTTGGGTCACCGCCTTGGATCATAAAGTTCCTAATATTTCGGTGGAACAGAACCCCATTGTAGTAACCCTTCTTCGCCAGCTGTACGAAATTCCACACCGCCCTTGGTGCAGTTTCAGTCTGTAATTCGATGTTGAGGGAACCAAGATTTGTCTCGATCCTGGCATAACCCTTGATCTTGACTCTTTTCGGCTTCAGCATATATTCCTCATCAGAAAGCAATGCTCTCTCGCCGCTTGTTTCCGGTGTAAGTCCGGTGCTCGTGAAACTAGCTGCTGCGCGTCCGTTTGTATACTGCGCAGCATTATATGCCAGCTTCTTCTCTTGTATCATCGATGGCTGTGGAGCAGAACTACTCGATCCAGTTTTAGACAGGGCTTTCGATCGATTGATGTCCCCGCCAGCCTCTCTTTCCCTCCTAGCCTTCTCAACGGCCTCTTTCGCTCTTAGGACCTTCTCTCCTACCCGTCCGAGCGCATCGATATTCACAGAGCCCTTCTGTCGCTCTGCTTGTTGTTCCTTGGTAAGAACGGTTTCCCCTTCTTTGATGAACTTGAATTTACTCAAGTCTCGCGACTCGATATTTTGAGGATCCTGCAGAGTAATGATATCCGATCTGCCAAACCCCCTGTCATCCACCAAGTCAGTCCACATCTTTGCCTTGATATTAAGTCGCTCTATCGTTTCCCAAGCAAAAACATTTGCTTCGCTTCCATGCCTGACCGCAACAATATGTGTATTGTCCGTGAAGACTTTGAAGGTAACCGGGTCGACCATATCCCCCTTCCCACCATCAGCACCGCCATCATCCGAGTTGCGCGCAAAGTTCAACTTGATCAAATCTTTGTCCTTCAACAGATTTCCAGTAACTGGATTTGTGCCATGTTTGGACAACCAATCACTTATGACCTCCACGTCAAATATTGTTCCTTCGGGCGTGCAGACGGGGTTCTGGAAGGGTTGGAGACTTGCGGCGCAAAAGTTGAAGGGAAGTCGTTTGAAGTTGGCGCCATTTGGCGCTTTCTGAGAAACATTCGATCCGGCGCTCGCAGAGTATGCATCAGAAGAGGCCCATTCGGAGTGGGTGATCTGTAAACATGTTAGGCGCGTTGCTTGGTTGTGATAGGAAGCAGGAGAAGAAACGTACGTAGAGCTTATCGGTGCCTTCAAAGATTAAATAATTAGCATGAGCCACTCGTACATGAAATGCGACTCACCTTTTCCCATTTTCAATATTTTTCTATGCGCCGCGGTCGAGACTTCTGTTGTGTTGTTTGATAAAAGGTTGACAGCCTCGCCAGCCTAGCCTTGGCAACTCAAAGCTCAAAATCCGCGCTAACCCAAACAGGAAATCTCCATTTGAATAATAACGTTGTAGGAATTTACCTATCCATCACGTCTAGATTAGCAAGCTTATTTTGTATATTCAAGTTATATTTGTTTATCCCCTAAGACTAGTTTAATAACTTAATAAATAAGTTATATATAAAATATTATTAAACTATAGAATTCCCTATAGTACTATACTTAGGTTACTTAGTATTATCTATAAGTTATCTTATCCTCTATAAGAAGTGAAATTTTTTTTAGATGAAAAACCTTACTTCCTTATAGGCTATAGCCTTTTTTTTCTAATATTTCTTTTCTTATTTTATAAATTATTCTCTTCTTTTTTATTAGATATAATTAACTAGATTATACGCGTAGTATTATATAGGTCTTAGTAGTTCTATAGCGAATAATCCTTTTTTACTTTATAGAGAAATAGAATAGTATTCGTTATCTCTAGTACTATAATTAGTTCTCCTTTATATTAATCTATTATATTTAAATTTCTAGTACTTTTTTTCCCTAGAAAGTTTATTTCTTACTTTATAATATATAAGGCTACTAGTAGTATAGTAGAAGGTATTAGCTTAGTATTAACGTTAGGTTATTAGACTTTTATTTTCTTATATATTTTTAGGTAAGCGGTATAAAGTAAGCTATCGAGCTTTCTATAAAGTACTTATTTAGTAAATACTCGATAAATATTACTCTTATTATCTACGTTAAACTTAGTAATCCCTTAGCTAGCCGGAATCCTAATACTTATACTTATACTTATTTAAAAAGGGAATACTACGGATATTACTTTTAGCGTAGGAAAGTACGCTTTAATTATACCTAGAGTTATCTAATATAAACTTTTTACTAACTAATATAGAAATGACCGGGCTCTCTAGCTACTTTATAATATATTCCTAGGTATTCTTAGTAACTTATAATAATACTAGTACGTAATATTATTATAACTACCTACTATCTTATTATTACTATCTTACTATTACTATTAAAATTTACTATATTTATGTACAATCTTTTGGTATTATAAAAACTTATTTTATTAACTAAAATAATAGTAATAGTAAAAGTATTTATAAATAGAATATATAATAGTATAGGTATAATAACGAGGTATATAACTTAGTAAATAGGAATAGCTTTAAATAGTAGTATAGTATAGTATAGTATAGTAGTAAAAGCAGTACTTTAGTATAATAAGTAAGTAGAGTAAAGTTATAAATTATATTATTTTTAGAATTATATATATTATTAGATTAGTAGTTATAATAATATTAGTAGTATTATTATAAGTTATTAAAGATACCTAGGAATATACTATAAAGTAGCTAGGGGGCCCGGTTACTTCTATATTAACTAGTAAAAAGTTTATATTAAATAATAATTCGCTTAATTATATTTATAAACTATAAGTTAATAAGAAGTTTATATTTAAACTACTATTTACCCGATAGACTTATAATTAGTATACCGAGTATAGAAAGTAGTTATATAAGAATAGTTATTAGAACGAGTTCTGTAAATATAAAGTAATTCTAGATACTCTAATATATAACGAAATTAGATAATAAGAGAAGATCTTTATAATTACTTCTATATAAGAGTCTTAGTATTAATTAAATTATATATAACTTTGTTGTTATTACTTATATATTTAATATATTGATTCCTGACTATATTCGTACTTCTAACAAGACGTCGATTTTTGATACTTAGCACGTCCTAATTAGGATTAGCGTTAGTACTCTCGCTTGGAAGCTCCACCACACTACTAGTAGCCTCACATATGATGTTACGGAGTAAGGGATAGTATACAAGTAATCACGAGAAACCCTTACGGGAAATCACCTCAAATCCCGTTGATCGTGATGTTGTCTGATATTAAACCCTATTTATAAAATTCAAAAAACTCCCATGAACGAGGGAAGAAAAACCATCAAAAAGACCGAATTATAGTATCATTCCTCTTTCCGAGACCACAATTTCACCAAACGTATTGTATAAGGATAAGCCGTGAGAACCTGTACAGTATATAAATTTCTCTAATTCTTGGGTGTAACAGATTGTTAATTGTTAGCGTAACACTTCTCTACCACCAGCAGGATATCTTACATTCACCAAAAATCAGAGGTAGAGGTACATTGCCCAATCATCGTTTGCGCACCTATAACCATTGAAGGCTATAGTCTAGTTACTATTTGCTTGAAGGGTTTTCTTTCCAGAAGACCTGGCTGTTTGGATAGGCAACCTACTCAATAACTCTACATCCATCTACCCCACCAATCCATCTCCCAATAACCTTCCCAATAACACGACCAGCACATTTCAAGAAGTATATAACTAAATTCATCTAGCTAGATCAATACCTACCATTCATCCCAGGATCACCGAATCAGATCATGAATCAGATCTCTCCCTCACTCGCTTTCTCATTCTCCACCAGCTCTATCAAAAAGTCCAGCCGTACCATACCATACAATCCAGTAATCAAGATTCAAACATACCACCTCGCCTAACCAAACCAAACCAAACCAAACCAAAACAGATACTACATCCCAAAGCAACCGATTAGCCACCTATCAACTCTACAAAGCAAAATATACAGTACATTCGTCACAACGGAATCCTCCGTATCCATACTAAGAGAGAGAGAGAGAGAGAAACCGCACGGGCAAGCAAAGTCCCAACCCTCGCCATTCAAAAAAAAAAAATGGAAAGAGAAAGGAAGCACAAAGATGCAAATCCGATGTTCTGATCCACACTCCCTCCCGATCTGACGGATTATCCTGTCGACTTTCTCTTTCAATTCAGAGAGGAGGGGAGAGGGAGAATGACTCAACACTCACTTCCTCACTAACTCACAAACTAACTCACGCAAAAAAAGAGCCCCCCAAGAAAATTAGCACAGCACTATCGCCTACTCTCAATTTCCAACCCCCAAATTTTCCACAAATACCCACAACCCATTTCTTCATTCCAATCATCTAGCTAGTACCTACCTACACTTAGTTCAAACTTTATTCTCTATGCTATCGCGAACTCTCTTCTTATTAAAACCTTTAAGCCGCACTAATTAGTTCCATTAGTACCTACCTAGTACACTAGAGAGAGTAACCAAAACCACCGCACTAAATAATTTCTCCATCATACTAAGTACACTTAATGAAAACTTCCTCTCTCATACCCCCTCCCCACTCTCTGTCTCCCAACCTAAGAAAGGGTTGGATTAGATTGACAATGTACATCGGTACCTATCTAACCAAAGAAAAGAAAAAAGGGGGCACAATGTTGTCATTATTCGTTATGTTTAGTGGTTGAGTAAGATACACGGCAATGGCAATGATAATAGCAATCTTCCAAAATCCTATGCTCAAAAAAAAGAAAGAAATAAAAACCATCCCCCCAAAGAATCCCATCACCCCAATCACGTACCCCCCAATGCCCCTAAAAACAAGCACCTCAAACCAAAAAAAAAAAAACGAACTACCGAAATCAATTGCGTATACACCCCATCACCAATCTCAGAAACCCCTATGATAAGATTCCACCGATTCTTCAAGATAATCCAGTACTTATAGTTCGCTAACGTTAAGTCGCTCGCGGTACAGACTAACTAACTAACTACTAACCACCAAACACCTACAGTACCGTCAAGTAACTAACTACACACACCACACCACACCATCCACCACACCAAACCACACCACACCTCACCAAAATGATTTTTTCTCCAAAAAATAAAAAAAGGAGAATACCGCATCCTCCTCTGTACTTGTATCAGAAAAAAAAACCCCCACTACTTTAGACCCCCCTCAAAAAAAAAAATGCATACATATACAAAACCCCCTCCTTCTTCAGAGGGATTTCCAAAAAATTAGCAGGTTCTCCTACCTACTTTTTTGCACAGATTTGCTGTGAGGAGTCTTGTCTTTTTTCCTTATGGTGTTGTTCGTTTCTCGATCGCTACTTTGGGATAAAGTAAAAGACAAGTCAACCCTCTTTCTTTTGTTTTCTCTTTTTGTGGTTTTGTGCTTGTCGGATTTCTCGAGTTTGAGTGAGGTGCGAGAGATATACTCGTGCAGAGAGTGAGCACTTGCTTGGTTTTAGCTACGGCAGCTTGAGATCCATCTCCAATACAGTATAAAGAACGCAGAGAAAGAAAATGGATAGAACGATGGCGGGACCGGGGGTTGAATGGGTAAGCAATCTCCCCCTAGAAAGCAAAATGCTTCTTGGACGATCAAGGACCCGCGATTTCTCTGTGATATTTTGTTGTCCTTGCGACTAATACTCACATCCACGCAACCACAGTCACCTCCCCACACCACCCTCTACTCCACACCAGCCCCCAAATCACATTCACATTCACATTCCGTCCTAGCCCCAATACCAGTCCAACAAGCCCCAGCCATCGAAGAAAGTCTCCCAGGAACCATCCCCTACACCCTCCAAAACGGGCACTTACTCGTAAGTCCCCCCCTTCCCCCCCATCACCCTCAATACCATCCCACTAACCAAACCCAGTGGTTCAACNCTACACCCTCCAAAACGGGCACTTACTCGTAAGTCCCCCCCTTCCCCCCCATCACCCTCAATACCATCCCACTAACCAAACCCAGTGGTTCAACGGGACAAGACGAAGGATCGAACTCCCGTCGCCGGTCAAATCTCAGTCGACAAGCGAGGAGTCGTGGATGGAACAGCCGCACTGGCAGCCGCTGGAAAGGGTCGAGCGTGTTCGCCGTGATAGCTGGAAGGGAGAGGGTCTTCCTTCTTATGAGATTTTTTGTGAGGGGATGAGGGCGCTGGCTGAGGCTGATGCGAGGGCGAGGGCGAGGGCTCAAGATCAGGGTCAGGCTGAGGATGAGGGTGAGCGTGAGGCTAAGGCTAAGGCTAAGGCTAAGGCTAAGGCTAAGGCTAAGGCTAAGGCTCCAGAGAGACGTCGAGTCTTGACTGTTGCTGAACTCGCCGAATAGAGAACTGCATCAGTATGGTATCTAGCTCTCAGAGTTGGGAGTATCCGTCTCACATCCTCGTAGCATACAACCGGCCAGTGTGGGCAGAATCAGTGCCCATAACGGAATATTGAATCGAGGACTGGATCTTGCGGGCAAGGAGCGTTCGCATTGGGTATTTAATCAAAGGGGGGTCCTTTCATTTGTTGGCCATTGGTATTGTATGTCAAGGGATTCCAGTAAGGACTCGCAGTGGACATACAATTTGGCACTATTTCCCATCTTTCATTTGTTCTCAATTTTCATAGCAGTTGATGTCGTTACACCTGCCTCTTGGAATAAGCGCTCATTTGTCCTGGAGGAAGACAATCGATTACTCCAGAATTTCAAATTTCAGAACCGTCATGAAACATCTTCAAAAAAATGTGACAACGTGTGAGCTATTTACTGTGGAGAGAGCCATCAACTTCAAGGAAAGACGATAATGACGATAGACTTGATCTGCGCTCCAAATATATCAACTACAATACGTAATCCACCGATTCTTTGGAGCAAGCTGATCATGACCAGCTTATGCCAAAGAAAGTGTGTGACGTTGATTTAAGAATCGTGGGCTGGACGATAGAAAGATAACAGATGGACGAATGATATGGAACTCCATGCCAAGCTCGGGAGGAATCCCATCTTTCCTAACAAAATTGAGTAGAGGTGTTCTGAGAGATAAGAATAGCGACAATTGAACGACTTCCGATTGTTCTTTGTTACTTGAATTGTGGAAATGAGTAACCGGAACATTTTGGGATGATTTCTTCAATAGTACTAGAATTGTCGAACAATTGTTTCAGCTGTGCAAAATAACCAGAATCATTGAGATATCATGCAAGTTGGAATCATAGAGAAAACACTCTCGGCCACTTTTGATATCAAACTAAAGGTGGTCTACAGAGGTGTTAGTAAAACCCAAGAGCTTTGGAAAGAGCTTATCGTTCGTGCCTTACTACTGTACGTGTAATCCTTGAGTCTCGACCCCCATCCCATGTTTGCAATGTGAGATGTGTGAGACTTTTGAGAAGTGGGTTTGGTGGGGTCTGCAATGCATCATTATGGATCGGCAGCCCACTTGGAAGCAGAAGGCGCAGACAGGATGGCAAATGGCAAATGGCCATGGTGAAACGAAACACCATGATGCTCGTGATGCTTATCTCGATGATTTCACAGAAAAAAGAATGGGTTTCGTGGCACTCGACCTTGATTTTGTGCTCATCCGTGACGGGATATCGCGTATGTATACGTATGAAGGTAGGAAGTAGGCACAGGCGCAGGCGCACAGAATCTCACGCCGAGCAAGACCCCCACGGTGGCTCAGGATTCGGTTGCTCAGAGGGGCCATCATGATGTTGTCCGGCCGAGCGAAGAATGGTTTTGATGTTGAGATTGACTGCTTCAGGAGTCGCCGGCTTTCTCCCCATCGCTAACCCCTTTTCAGATGTTCGTCTCCGGCGGAAGGTGCTTCAGGAGACAACGTGGCGGTGACAAAGTCTATTTTTGGGAGGTCGTAGATTCTTCCCGTCGTGTGATGGGTGGAGAGGGACCCAAAATTGGTCTGTGGTTGCAAATTTTGGAGTTTTTGCTGAGATGAGGCGATCTGGAGTTGTCAAGATGTGGAAGGTTATCCGAGATGCTTCTATTGAACAGGTCCAGACTTGGTTTGGGGGGATCCACCACCAGAAAGGTCCGGAACATCTCCTGTCCACCAATTCCAGCATGTCCACAGTTTTTCCACTTTACCGACCGCATCTGTAGATTCTGATGGCACTCGTTCTTCAGAGGACCCGAGAGGACCCTTGGGCGCAGGTGTACTCGGGTACTTCGCAGTAAGTGCCCAGAGTGCGTGGGCCTGGCCCAGTTGATCGACCGTCGAGCCCAGCACGCTGTCACTGCCGAGAGATTACTTGTACTTCTACAGCATCTCCTGGGCTCCAGCTGGGGTAAGCGCCCCGCCATTCCCGCAGTGTCCTGTGTCCACTGTCCATCGTATCCATCACATGGAAGCTTTTTTTTTCGGGGTACTCGAGTACCTAGGTAGCTGGGCTGGGCTGGGTAGCGGTGCAGTGGCAATTCCGTGTCCTCCGCAAGGTCGAGCAGCAGAGCAGCAGACATCTGGAGTTTCCCAAGTTTGTCACTGCCTGCCAGCCTGCCCGCCAGCCAGCCGATGCGATGCGATGCAAATGGCCCGGCCCAGTCCCAGTCACAATGCCAGTGCTTGGTGGAGTCTCTTCTCGTCTCCTCTCGCTCTCACACAAGATTGAGCCCCCCTCTTAATGCGTACACCATGTCACATCAAGTTGCCTCTTCAAGCCGTTGCCAATGCCAATGCCGCTCCCCGATTACTTCAAAAACCGCTGTGCCCCTCGATTTTCCCTACGCTCCTTTCCACCAAGTCATTCACTCGTCTTCCTCAAGTCTCTCTTAGCCTTCCCTTAAGCCGCTCTCACTCCTCTGGTCCAATTGCATCTCGCCTTTGTGCGACACGCCCAACCCCGCATCTTGGCCCCGTCCACCCTCCTCCTCCCTTAAATACCCATCAGCCGCAGACCAAGTCTCGACTATTCCCCAAGGGTTCAATCATGTCGTCCACGGAAATCATGCTGATGGCTCCAGAAATGATGAAGAACAGCAGTCCGGACGCCAAAGTCAGCCACTTTGAGCATATTGAGGTTGAACCTATCACACTCAATGACCATCATATGCATTTACCACAAGGACTCTCCCAGACGGAGGTAACACGGGAAGAAAAATGGTTTGTCGGCAGCATTGATCAAGGAACCACGTCTTCAAGGTTTCTGATCTTTGATGGTGAAGGAACGCCAGTTGCCAGCCATCAGATAGAATTTGAAAACATATATCCCGACTCAGGGTGAGCTTGCAATCACCATTCTTCTTCTATAATATCTGCTAATCATATCCTCTAGTTGGCACGAACATGACCCTTATGAACTAGTTTCCTCCGTCGAGCAATGCATTGAGAAAGCCACGGAAAGCTTCTTGGATCTAGGGTATACCAAAGACCAAATCAAAGCTATTGGAATAACAAATCAACGAGAAACAACCGTCTGCTGGGATACAACCACAGGAGAGCCTTTATACAATGCTGTTGTATGGCCGGATACTCGTACTGCATCCATTGTCCATGAATTGAAGGCCAAACCTGGTGCGGATGACTTGTTACAAATGTGTGGCTTGCCATTGTCAACATATCCTTCAAGTGTCAAACTCCTATGGCTCTGCCGAAACGTGGAAGCCATCAAGAACGCATACGACGAGGGTAGGTTGTCTTTCGGAACCGTCGATAGCTGGCTGATCTACAAGCTCAACGGAGGGAAGAATTCCGAAGTTCATGTTACGGACAGTTCGAACGCTTCTCGTACTATGTTCATGAATCTCCATAGTCTCCAGTATGATGAAAAGCTTCTTAACTTTTTCGGGCTTGATCAAACCAAAGTCAAGCTTCCCAAGATCGTCCCATCTTCTGATCCAGAAGCTTATGGAAAGCTCGCCTCGGGAGCCTTGAAGGACATTAAGATTACGGGTTGTCTTGGTGATCAGTCTGCAGCTTTAGTTGGCCAATGTGGCTTCTCACCAGGACAGGCTAAGAACACTTATGGAACAGGTTGTTTCTTACTTTATAACGTCGGGGAAAAGCCCGTCATCTCAAAACACGGCCTTTTGGCGACTGTTGCTTACGATTTTGGCGGCGGACGCAAGCCAATTTATGCTCTTGAGGGCAGCATTGCAGTTGCTGGCTCAGGAGTCAAGTTTCTGATGAACAACTTGGGCTTCATTAATCACTCGAGCAAAATTACTGAATTGGCGGAAACGGTCAGCGATAATGGTGGTGTTGTTTTTGTCACTGCCTTCAGTGGGCTTTTTGCACCTTACTGGATTGACGACGCCAAGGGAACCCTATGTAAGTCACTTCCTAATTCTACTACTGCTCCACTATACTCATGATTATTTAGTCGGCATCACAGCACACACCCAAAGAGGTCATATCGCACGTGCAACCTTAGAGGCTACCTGCTATCAAACCAAAGCAATTCTCGATGCAATGGAGAAAGACTCTGGTCATAAGCTCGGAGGGCTTGCTGTCGATGGAGGCATGTCCAACTCGGACCTCACCATGCAAACTCAAGCAGACATCATTGGCATCCCCGTTGACCGACCCGTAATGAGAGAAACGACCGCGCTCGGGGCAGCGATCGCAGCTGGTTTCGCCGTGGGCATTTGGAAGCATTTCGACGAGCTGAAAGAAATCAACAAAGAAGACCGAGCGATCTTCACGCCTCAGGTTGATCGGAAGAAGAGCGAGAAGATGTTCAAGAAGTGGGAGCAGGCCGTTGAGATGAGCAGAGGCTGGGTGCTCGATAACTCGGACGAGTAGAGTGGGTTGAGGGTTCCTATCCAGGTCGGATGGTTGGTTGGTGTTTATGGGTTTATGGTTTTTGGGTGCACCTTGATGATTTTATGAGCTACCGGCGAATCTACGGACGTCGAGTTGAGATATTTCTAGAAGTATTGTTTATTGTTTATTTGTTTATTGTTTGTATAATTATATAGAGTATAGATACCATTGTAGCTAGCGCGTTTTGTTTTAAATCCTACCAGAATCAAATATGACGATAAATATTCCTTTTCTTTTCTCTTCTTGCTTAATGCTTGTGTTGTTTGCGTTTCATGGGGATTAGGTAAACACGTACCTATTCATGAGGATTACAGTACAGTACTCGTAGACAATAACAATAAAAGTAGTACGTGCATAGGTAGTAAATCATTTGCTAATCTGCCTACCTACCTACCTACCTACGTAGAAACTACCCCTTCCCATTCACATCCAATTTACAAGTATCTAATTTCTCTCTCGAAATAACCTACGAGTACTCGTACGAATATCCGTACGAATAAAAGTAAATCCTTCCGTAGGTACTGTACTTTTCGTAAGCTTAGTATATATAAGTACGAATACCAAGGGGATTAGAAACGAAACCCGGGGGATTTGAATCAGGTGGAGTAATTTGGGTCGGAGATTCTTTGTGAAAAATGACAGAGGGAAGGGAAGGGAGGGAAGGGTGGTGTTGTAAAGGGGGAGGGGGGGATTTGGGGTTTGGGGATCTTGTGGGAGGGTTGGGTTAGGTTAGGTTAGGTTGTTGTTTTTACTATGGGGTTTCTTTTTGGGGGGTGGAAGAGGGAAGAGGGAGTGGAAGCGAGGAGGATGGGAGTGGATGAGGAAGTGGAAGGGGAAGCGAGGATGAAGTGGAAGGGGAAGCGAGGAGGATGGTACCTATGGTTGGTACCAGTATGGGCAATATGATAGGTAGGTAGGTACTTGGTAGTCGTATTCTAATTCCAATTCCTACTACTACTACTCGTACTCTGCTCTACTCAGCTCTACTGAGTTTACTCGAGCTACTCTAAGTTTTTAAGCTAAGGAAAGAGAGGAGAGGAAAGAAAAGACAGAAAAGAAAAGGAGGGTTGTTCATTCATTCGTTCGTTCGTTCGTTCGTTTCGTTTATTAATCGTGCGTGATCTTGGATTGGATTCGATACTGTACGGTATATATGGTATGTATGGTACGGTACCTCCATAGGTAGAGTAGCAAGCACATGCAATTCACAAAATCTCGCCCACTGAGCCACCACACCTACTCGAGTACAGTACTCATACAAGTCTCGTCCGCCAAGGGTTGAATGATTACTTTTTACCTACTCAAGTACCCCTCGTGACGTAAATTACATTAGCTTTCCCCGTTCTCCGTTCCCCGTTCCCCAGATTTCCAATCCCCGGACAATACTCGTACTGTAACGAAAATGACGGCCGCGGGGAGACATGACATGACATGTGAAAGTCTTCGCATCGGATCCACACCAAGACACAGCCAATCCGGGGCGTGGGAATGGACCTCGGCTGGACTGGACTGGGCCTAGGACTGGGGTTGGGGAAGCTGGGCTTGACCGCAAGAGATCAATGCGTGTGTGAGATGAATGTGAACTTTCTCTCTTACTCTCACAAACACACTCTTGACTTTTTCGTGGATAGACGAGTAAATCTATTGATTTGTCGAAGGAGAGGATCTCTTGAACAGATAATTTTATTTTACGGTTTGATTTGGAAGTTGTTTACCTGGTCTCTTCAGGATGTCTGCAGGTACGTTTATACTCTCAGTACTGAACTTATTGTTTCCGTGTCGTTTCGGGGCTGACGAGATGGGAAATCGAAGCTCAGCAACGCCTTACACAGGTCTCTGGCCACTTGGGTAGTTCGAAAAGCTCGGGTAGAGCGAAGATCTTGGAGAAGAATCCAGATGATGTATGCCATCCCCATGATTGCTCCCCAGCTACGTCGAAGCATTACTAACGCCCCCAAGATCGTAGTAACAGCCTGTCTCCGAACAGCCTTCACGAAAGGCGGAAAAGGCGGGTTCAAAGATACCGCTGCGGCAGATCTGCTCATTGGCGCGTTCAAATCCCTTATCGAGCGATCGAAGATTGATCCGAAACTCGTGGAGGATATTGCTGTTGGGAGTGTTTTGCCTCCTGGGGGTGGAGCGACGGAGTTCAGGGCTGCGGCTCTTGCTGCGGGGTTTCCTGTTGAGACTGCGGTCAGAAGTTTGAATAGACAGTGTTCGAGTGGGCTGCAGGCTTGTGTGGATGTTGCGAATCAGATTCGTGCTGGGATGATTGAGATTGGTGTCGGTGCGGGTGTGGAATCGATGAGTTTGCAGTATGGGTATGTGGAAGAGTCCTTTTTTTTCGTGGGTTTGGGGTGGTTTCAAAAAAAGAAACTAACAATATTGCAGACCTGGTGCTGTCACCGAATTCTCGGATCTTTTGGAAGCTCATCCTGCTGCTGCAAACTGCAAAGTACCTATGGGCGTTCTTTCCGAACAAATGGCCAAGGACCGCAAAGTTGCCCGTAAGGATCAAGATGCTTTCGCAGCTAGCTCTTACCAAAAGGCTTTGAAAGCGCAAGAAGCCGGTTTGTTTGACGAGGAAATTGCTCCTCTTACGGTCAAATGGGAAGATCCCAAGACCGGTGATGAGAAAACAATCACAGTCAGCAAAGATGATGGTGTCAGACCGGGCATCACCGCTGAAAGTCTCAGCAAGATCAAGCCTGCATTTGCCAAAGACGGTTCCATCCACGCCGGTAACGCGAGTCAGATCTCGGATGGTGCAGCTGCGGTTCTTCTCATGAAGCGGTCTACCGCTGAGAAATTGGGACAACAAATCCTGGGCAAATATGTCGCGGCTTCGATTGCTGGTGTTGATCCTTTGCTCATGGGTATTGGTCCTTGGGCGTCTATTCCCAAGGTCTTCGAGAAGACGGGCATCAGCAAGGATGATGTTGATATTTTCGAGATCAATGAGGCTTTTGCCAGTCAGTGTCTTTGGTGTGCCAATGAGTTGGGCCTGGATCAGAAGAAGATCAATCCCAAAGGTGGAGCCATTGCTTTTGGTCACCCCCTGGGATGTACTGGTGCGAGACAGGTTAGCACTTTGCTTTATGAATTGAGAAGGAGAGGGGAGAAGGTTGGTGTGACGAGTATGTGTATTGGAACGGGTATGGGAATGGCAGCCGTATGGGTTGCCGAGTAGGAAGGGAATTGAAGAAAGTTGGATAAACATTAGGTTGTAAGAGTACTTGAATAGAGAAAAATTGAGACTTGAAAATCTTGGTCACAGAGTTACCTCGAGTGGTCTCACAGAAAGGCGGCAGGAACTATAGACATTCCCCTGGTCTCTACACCCCTTCGCCCCCACGTTGTCCCAACTCTGATAGATAATCAAAATTTCTTGAAAGCTTTAGAGCAGCCGAAAAGGTTAAACGAAGATTGGACGAAGATTTGCTTAATGAATAAGCACTTACATAAATTTCTATGAATGGAAAAATGAAGAATTATCTCTTACCGAATTTCTAGTTGTTGCAAACGGGATAGATCTTGTACACGGTGTAGTAGCTCTCCTGTAGGTGCCTGAGAGAGTTACACGATACCCCGCGTCTTGTGTTCAAGAAGAGCGGGCCAGAAGCGGAATCATAACTCAGGCAAGGGGCAAGAAGTGATACCATGACAGATGAATAAACCTGCTCTTATTTCTTCACAAAATGTACTTCGAAGGAAGGTACCAAGTAGATTCTTTTTCATATCCACTTCAGCACAAGCCGTTATCGGGCTCCCCAGACGTTTGTATACCAGTCAGTGCCATGCCTCTCTTGCCATGGCCTCACCCCTCAGTGGAGTTTAGCCTTCGGACTTAGGCCCCGCCCTGGTCATTGATGTGACCCACCTGATGGGTTCCCGATAAGGACGGCTGGATGCGCGAGTTTCAGTGCTTGAGTATGATTGAATGCAGGACGATGAAGGTTATTTAGCTTGTTTATCTGGTGCGGAAGTGGCCAGTGAGAAGGCCGCTCGCCGGCCAGAAGCCCCTTCTGGGGAAACGTGTCGGATTGGCATTTATGGAGAAAGAGGTGTTGTGAACCGATGACTCTTTCCCTCTGGCTCTGAGGGCTGTCGGCATTGCGCTGCTCTTATCGCAGCATTGCATCGTATCCAGATACCCCTCCACGGTGAGAGTAGGGCAGCAGGTGACGAGCGTGCGGGATGACGAAAGCGATGGATTGCACATCGAGCCATCGGTGCAACTATTCCCAGATGCCACCTACATCCAATATAGTGAATGGCAATTGTAGCGTACTTGGGGCTCAATACAAGTACTCGGAATCTCTCGCACCTCTGACCAGTGAATAGGAATAGGCTCGAATGGTGTGACGATGAAGTGCACTTGGGTTGCCGTGCCTAGAGGGGTCCGCCGCTTTACTAACGAGGTCACCCATTGCCTGCAAACTGCCTGCTCCTCGTCGACCGAAGCACCTTCACAACCATCCCTCCCTTCTCCCAGCATTGAATGCCTCATTTGGTCGCTTTGGACTGCTTGGACAACTTCATTCCTCTTCTTTCCCCAGAGACCTTCCGCCCCTCGCTCGTCCTTTCCAGTCCTGACACTGTCACGACTCTTTCCCGCTCCGCTCGAGTAGTCTTGACGCCCGTGCTGGCCAGTACGCCGACTAACCACGACCACTCCGACTACAACCACTTCATCTGCGAACCAGCAACTCTAGTTGAATGTTGGGCACGCCGGGGCATACTTCATCATTTCAACCCCACGACACACCAAAAAGTAGGCTACTACCCCTTCCTATTCTCTCTCTTCTGCTTCATGTTCACCCGTTCATCTCGTTTCGTCCAGCCAGCCCTGTATAGCACATTTTACACTTCCTTCTCGACCAGTCATCGCCTTACATGACATACATGACCTCGTAAGGCTAACACGACCATGGAAACCTTCAGCGGATCTTCTGTCTACTCTGCCCATTCCAACACCCGCTCCTCTTCTTCTTCCTTCAAATATACCAATACAAACCAACACACGCCAACTCGTGAATCCCAATCTCCGCGCGACTCTACTTCTCTTCGTTTCCCAGTAGCCCCAACCACCCCCGCAACCGACGAACGGGTAAGTTCTTGGGTCGAGAGCATTACGCCTGCCAGAATGTCTGCACCCAGTGAGGATGGCAGTGCCCTAGGTGATTCTACCTACGACTTCATCGACACAGATACCGAGAGTCAAACCGATAATGCAACGACTGAGTCGATTGCTTCCACCGATTTCGGACGCCCTGATGATATTGCCAGCTTAGCAGACACAGAGCAAAGCGATGATGGTAGCGGGGACGACAATAGCTCACAGCAGGCTTCGACACAGCCGTTTCCAGGCTTCAACCAAGCCGTCGAAGATGCCTTCGAGACTCCCACAATAGGCAGAAGTTCTGCAGTAATCGTCGAGGATATGGATCGAATACTTTCTCAGTCGATCGAGTTCGAGGAACCCTTCAATCTCGGTGCTGAGAATGTTTCTGTCAAACATACAGTTGTTGAGTTTGACGAGGAGGAAACCTCTAGGATAGCCAAAGATATGTCTCTACCAACTCCACCACCACGCTTGGCTGTTACTATCCGACAAACTATGACTAAACAAGGTCTTTCTACCCGAGAGCCTCTTCGCATACTCTACGTTGGTAGTCACTCAGCAAAGCAGGACATTATTGTCAAGCTTGCCAGCACAATTACTGCCTCAATTGCCGGAGATAAACGAGCAAAACACATTCGCGATTCTGCTTCACAATTATACAATGTTGTCCCGGTTTCGGCGTTTGGCTCTGAGCGTACTCCAGAGATTGAGCTTATGCATTCTTCGGGTTATCAGATCAAGGTTGAGGATTGTTGGTCTGCTCACGCAGTGGACCATGAGGATTCTCCTTCTCATAAATCCGAGATCTTCAAATTGACGACGGAGGATCGCTCATACCAATCCGTGCCGGAAGGGAAAGGCTATAAAATCGAACCACAATGGGAACTCCCTCATATTTCAGTCATATACTGCTCGGACAGCGATGACTTGAATGCCAGACGTACTCGAGCATATGCAAGAGAATTCATGAATCGACATAACATCCCTTCAATTGTCATATCACATAAGCAAATGTTTGACCGCGCTCAGTTTATGCCTTTGGATCAACACTCTATCCATATGTGTTTGGAGTCTCGAGACTCGAACGGAAGAATGAACATGATTCATCAAAGACTCCCAATCGATCTTGCCTCTTTCTTGAATATCGACGCACGACAAATGAATCGAAACCTCGCATATCTTACTGGCTTCTACGAACCCCTTGATGAGGCAGAGGGATCTGCTTCTGCGAAGGCCATTGATGGTGCTCGGACAGACAAGGGACACGCCCATGGTCTTAGCGGCTTTCTTCATTCGCTTCGCGAACAGTATGCAGCTGATTGGCAAAAATTTGTCATGCACGTCGGTTTTGGGTTGCTTCTTTTTACAGTCCTTCCAGCACTCATGATGTCCATTCCGAGCTATCGGTATTCAAATCAACGTACCATCTCAATCAATAGTAAGATCGTATCAGATGTACCCAGCTTCTGCACGACTTCTATCACAAATGTAGCGGTTGCGCCCAGTATAACAGCTGCCACAAGCGTGGCCCAAATATCAACCTCCACTCGCACCATCACTGTTACACAAGCTCAACCATCAGGACCAAACGGTCTCTCGGTTGTGCCATCAAAGGAGCTCAGCACTACTTTGCCAAAAGTGCAGAACTCGAAGAGCAATAAATCTTTGTGTTCTGCTGAGATCCTTGGAAACAGAGAAATCTTGATTCGCATTCCTTCAGCAACCAAGTTGACTTGGCTCAATAAAGAAGCTATCTCTGTCAATATTACCAGAGATAACTACACCGTGGACACTGAACGTGCCTATAGCTCCGACGAGGGAATTGTCTTGCTGTTACCAAAAAAGGAGGCATACGGCGTGCTTAACATCACCATTGTCACTACCAAGAGACCAAAAGTCAACGAGACCTTCAATCTCGATTTTGGAGTTACTGCCGTTCAGGCAATCCAAAATGTGTTTGGAAAGATTGCTTCATTGGGGATAAGTGCGGATCCGTTCTCGGAATTCATTTCTTCTGCCGACAAACTGGTTGAAGATGCACGAATGAAATCACAGGCTACCTTGAATCGGCTAGAGGGCGCCAGAAAACTTGCCGTGGAACAAGCATCATCTGCTTCAGGGAGCCTTACTGGACTGGCTAAATCGATGTCCTCGGAGACTGCTAAGCGTAGCGCTCAGATTTCAAAGGAAGTTAGTCTTCAGCTTGCAGAAGAAATGCAGAAATTGAACAAAATCCAAGAACCCATTAACAACGGTATTTTATCGGCCCAGGTCCAATCGAAGTTACTCTGGCTCAAGATGCAAGGCAAGCAGGATGAGTATGCTAGGTACCAAAATGCTGCCTATGAAGCCATTCGAAACAAGCGCCAGGAAGCTCGCAAGGCTCAGAAGGAGGCATTGAAGGGAAAGTTCAACCGGGTGAAGGATCAGGCAATGAAAACTGTACAGAAATCTGGACTGTCGAAGAAGAGTTGTTCCGGGAAGAAGCAGAAGGCTTGAGCTGAGCTGAGCTTCACACGCCAAACTTGCTTTTTCTGCGAACAATACATGATGGATGAGAATGGGTTTGCTATTTAGTTTGGCGTTTACGAAATTGGGACGTTATGGATCATGGTATGGGAGTGATAGGACAGGTATGGAATTAGGTATACCCAGCCACAGGCTGAGTAAGTGGGTCGTTCTCTCTCTCTCTCCAGGACTGATGGGATACATATGTGGCGATGAGAGATATCAACGGAAAGGCTTGGGCAAGTTATTTGTGGCGGTGTATTGAGGTGTCATAGTTTTTTTTTCTTCGTCGCTTTTTAGTCATGGCAGCATACCCTTCTCATCGCTTGTATTTCTATGATGCTTGATGTGATATTGATACATGTCTTTTTGATGGAGATGGGGGTTTCGGCAATTGCAGGTGGGACTTGGTGTTAGTGTGTCACGAGGGAAATCATTTATATCCCCAGAAAAGGGTACTATGTAATGTTATAGACTACATCTGAATACTCCGCTTTTGTGCTTTTAAAGCGCCGAGTGGTTGAGAAGTTGAGAGTGAATAAGTAAGAGCTCGCAAAGATAGGCCACAAGCGATAAGCGCCACCGTGCCTCTGTCCACCGCAAGCGTGCTAGTCTTTTTAAGCGAATATTTCCTCAGGTTGTCCACAGTTGGCCTGCACCCCAAACAAAACAACCTTCACAGGACAAACCACATTTGACAACTTGCATCATTTTGTCCGGCCACATCGCGATCCACAAGTATTTTACGACCTCCTGCAACCTGCAACTTTACGCAACGCGCAAATTTACTCCTCCAAATCTACATAAAGTACCTTCAAGATGGCCGACATCACAGGCGCCAGCACTGCCACCGAACCGGTCATCGAGAAGAAGGAGACCGAGCCTACCACTAGCTCTACTACCACCGACGCAACTGCCAAGAAGGATGAAAGCGCGGTACGTCTGACCGTTTTGTTTGTCGCGATCATGAGGTTGCGAGGGACCAAGCTTGAGCTTGGTGGGGGTTGGCGGGGATGTTGAAGGAGGGGTATCGTGATTTTTTTTACTGACTATGGAAATCTTTCGCAGACCTTGACCGAGCAAGCCACCGCCGCTGCATCCACCGCTGCTACCTCCGTTACCTCTGCCGCCGCTGGTGTTAAGGACAATGTCTTTTCGATGTTTGGAGGTGGAGCCAAGAAGGAGAAGGTAGAAGATGAGGATCGTGGCGAGAACTCCGGATCCGCAAAGGCTCAGAAGGAGGCTGCTGCTTCAGAGAACCCCGAGGTATGCCAACGATAGGAATTCATCACAGATGGAAATACATGCAGATGGCAGGGTGCTGATCTGATTTTTTATCTAGGACGAAGCACCAGAGTCTGAGGATGTGCACTTTGAGCCTGTCATCCGTCTCACCGAGAAAGTCGAAGTCAAGACCAACGAAGAGCTCGAGGAGCAGATGTTCAAGATGCGCGCAAAGCTCTTCAAGTTCGACAAGAGCAACAACGAGTGGAAGGAGCGTGGGACTGGTGATGTTAGACTCTTGAAGCACAAGGAGAACCAAAAGACCAGATTGGTTATGCGCAGAGACAAGACTTTGAAGGTTTGCGCCAACCACTACAGTATGTGCATATCTATTCTTCTTCCCCGGGAATCGGGAGAGTTATTTGCACGCAATGCTGATTTCTCTAGTCGTCCCTGAGATGAAGCTCTCCCCCAACGTTGGATCCGACCGAAGCTGGGTTTGGAACGCTGCCGCGGATGTCAGTGAGGGTGAGCCAGAGGCGCAAACTCTTGCTATTCGATTTGCCAACTCCGAAAGTATGTCAAAATCTTCAATTCACTTATCCCGACACAAAAACTAATGGTTTCGTCACAGATGCCAACCAGTTCAAGGAGGCATTCATCAAGGCCCAACAAGATAACGAGGTTCTTTTCGCCAAGTCTTAAACAGCCCATGGCCAACTTTACACGTTGAGGACTCATTGAAAATTTTCAATTCCAATCCAAGTAACGACACCTTTCACATCGACCACGAAAGTTACGAGAACCGCTTTTGCACGAATTACATCAACCCTTTCCCAATAAAAACACAAATTCCCCCACCCGCGCGTCACGTTAATTTTGTTCGGCCGAGAAGTTTCCCCGCACCTCTTTGTAAACAATCATTGGGTTCGTCCCTTGACGGAATCTGGCGATACTTTTCATTCTTCTTCTCCCCTTTTCATACTTTCATGCATTGTGTGGGCGAAGTCATAGATTTGATGATGGTGGAGGACATTGAAACGAGTTCTTCCGCCTCTTCGGATATAGTCGTTCTTCGGTTCAGGCTTGACCTGAGGGGCGAGGCTCGAGAAGGGGCTTCTTGAGACTGTAGTTAGACTAAATAATAGTCACACCTTGTCCTGTCTTTGTATTGATCAAGTGAATTGGATGGGTCTTTCTGGTGTGTTTTGGTGCTTGTGAAGATAGACTGATGGTTTGTTCCAGAAGGTGAGAACTAGGGATATCGCCTTGCTTTTTCTAGGTACTTCTATTGAGTTACTCCAGCCTTTTGATGAGACAATTCGGCTACTTTTACTACGAACTTGGGTTGGAAGTGAATAAGATGCGTTTATGACTTGACTTTGACTGTGACCATGACAAACCTGAGGCTTCCAGATATTTGAGGCCTTAAAACAACCCTCGGTTTTCCGGCTCCAACACTCACCCCACACTTGCACCTGCTGTCGCGAAGCTTCACGCGCGTGCCCGTACAGACCTTCCGCAACTTGAATCGACCTCAACCTCAACGTCAACTTCAACTTCAACTTGCTCGCACCAAAAATCCACACAACTACTTAGCATCGCAGCAATCGAAGTCAAGATGGTATCCGCAGATGTGAGTCTTCTCTTCTTTGGTTGTTCAGCAATGATTTACTGTATTGCGCTGAGTGTATCAATAAGCGCATCATAGAGACAGTACTGATACTTTCCACAGATCAAAAGAACCATTAAACTGGTCACTGAACAGCAAACCATGTAAGTCCTGTATACTACCTCAGCTTCGACGCGCATACTAATTGAGTCCTCTACAGCGACAAGCCCTCCGGCAATGAAGGGTTTCCTATGAAGGAATGGAGCATCAACATCTACCTACTTGATGAAGCTGGGAAGGAGAAACCTGCAAGTTGCTTCACTAAAGCCGTCTATAACCTCCATCCATCCTTCAAGAACCCAACTCAAAGTTCGTATACTCCTTCCACGATTGGTGCCATATCGCAAAGGGGCGGGTTTAGGATGAGCAATAGCTAATGCGAAATTGTGAATAGCCTTCCATTCACCCCCATTCACCTGCAAAAACGAAGGATGGGGTGAATTCGACATGACCATCGATCTCTACGTTAACGAGAAGAGCGGCAAGCACACCATCCAACACGATCTCAACTTCGCCAAAAACGTCTACGAATCCAAGCATCCGATTACCTTCAAGAACCCCTCTAGCAGTCTGCTTCAAATCCTGAAAGAAACGGGGCCCGTGCCTGGCGAGGAGAATGGCAGAAAGAAGGACTCGGATAAGAAGCGCAAGAGAACCACGGGGAATGTAGATGTGGAGAGATTGGCGGAGCAGTTGATTAAGCTTAATGAGGAGGAACTCTTGCAGGTTGTTCAGATGATTCATGACAATAAGACGCCGGAGACTTATACCAAGAATGATGTTGAGCGTGGGTTTTTTTCCTTCTCCCCGAGCCCATTTATCTAGTCCATTTCACTTTTACATTGCTCAATTCAGGACTAACCTGGTGTTTCAATACAGAGGGCGAGTTCCATGTTGATCTTTATACACTTCCCGATAATCTTATCAAGATGCTTTGGGACTACACCAGCGGCCGGACCGCAAACCATTGATCGCTTATGGAATTGGTCAACGTTCGATGAAGTTAGCTTACCCACCCACCACACACGTGCCCAGAATATCATTCTCCCAGCAATGATAAGGTCATCTACCAACCAACCAGCTTCCTTTTCTCAGCACCACAAAAATTGTTATTATTTTCGGCGTTTCTCCTCTTCTCTTGCGAATGGATCTTACTTGCACAACCGGGAAGAATTTGTCACAGTCTGGGTCTTTCGCATCACGTTTGCATGTGCATTTGGGCTGGGCTGGACTGGGCTGGGTAAAGCCACAGAATATATGTATTTTCGTCTGCAATTTTCACCGCGCCACTTGAGGGGATCCCGACTTGTAGGTTGGGGAATTTATCCCAATGATAAATGGGTGGGCGTCACTTTGGCTTTTGATGAATATGGCATGGAATGGGAGGGAAAGGGGGCGCATGCGCACCTTATTGCCCTACTTATTTGTATTTAAGGGGCACGCACTGGGTCTGAATTTGAAATGGGGGGTTGGGATCTTCTTTTCTAGCTAGTTAGGTTATGGATGAATACAGGGAAAATCTTTTTCGAAGCTGATTTTGTGCTTGGATGTTTGGACCTGAATGTGAATATGGTGAGGTGAATGGGTGGATGATAGGTGATGGGTGATAGGTGATGGTAAGATATATATTGGAGGTTGAGTAAGGTAGGGTAGGCTAAAGGGTATTGTTCTAAGGTCCTCGGAGGGGGTTTTCTTTCTTGGGGTATCGTTGAGGCGAAGGTGATGTGGGGAGTTAGTTATTGTGTGGTACAGTAAGATCTTACTTGAGGGACTGGACTGGGATACTGAAATTTTCTTTCTAAGAAATTAACATGTTGGTAGGTTAGGAAGTGGGCGTGTATGTATATGTTTATATATTTTACTAAACCGAATTAGTTGGTTGATTTGATTGGTATCGGGGATAGTAGCACACTAGGTGGTCTTAGGAGGTTAAAGAGGTCAAAGAGGTGAAGCTGTATGGGGACTGGAGGAGGTGGGAGTGGGAGGGTTGGGGGGTATATGGTGGGTGTGTTAGGTGGAAGTTGAAGGGTTATATAATTGTACAAAGGGATAGAGGTGGAGATAGAGCTAGGTAGTTGAAATACCTATATTATTTATTAATTTATTTACTTGAATTTACTTGAATTTACTAAGGGAAGTCGGGGAGAGGGAATAATAGATTATAGCTTCCTGTTTTTTCTTTTGTAAAGAAGATAGATGGGAGGAGATCGGAAGATAGAAGGGTAGGCAGAGAGGGGAAGACGTATATTAGTACAATAAGATTAGTAAGATTATTAGGTAAAAATCGAGTACTTCGTATAGGTACGATATAAGACTCTTGTCTTTATTACTTAACCCCTATCTCAAATACCTAGGTAGGTGGATACCTAGAACTAGCTAGCTAGTACTCGGGAGGCTTTTATAGTTCTACTCGGTTAGGATTATTATTTTATTTTACGGTAATTGACTAAACTACCCCCTAATTAATTAAAAATTACTCAAACACTCCTTAGATAATTGTCTACTAACTAAACTACCCTATAATTTATACTCTACTTTTTAAGAGGTAGTGTAGTTACTAAAGTTATAGATATCGCAAATAAGGGGTATTTCTGTCTACAAATACTAATTATTTTTAAGTCGTGAGATTTTCATTTCTTTATCAGTTATTATATAGAAATATACTAGGAAATCAATAGACAAAGTAAATTGATCTACTACTTATTACTTCCTACTTCGTAGTCTACTGAGGTCGATTCTAGTGGAGGTTAAGTATAGTACTCCTTACCTCTATGTTTACGCTTATCATTAGTTGTTTTTCCTCGTTCCTGAGTAATATCCTCGAGTCCTTGTCCCCGAGCCTTAATTTACTAGCTTCGTCTTGTTACGCAATTTAATTTTTGAGAGTACGCCGCGGTCAAGTACCGTCGTTGTTGTAGAAAATTCTATACTAGTGCTATAACGTTGAAGCTTTGATTCACTAGAGAATAGGTGTAGATATATATAAAAGTTAGTGAAGGTTGACTGACAGAAACACCCACTATTTGTAGCTTTAGCGACTAAACCACCCCTTAAAAAATGGGGTATAAATTATAGGGTGGTTTAGTCAGTAGACAATTATCTAAGGGGTGTTTGAGTGGTTTTTAATTAATTAGGGGGTAATTTAGTCAATTACCGATTTTTTATTTTATATAAAAGGCCTAGCTACTATAGCTTCTCTCTCTATTAGATTATTACTTAGGGATTTTATTCTGATTATACCTAGGTAGGTAGGTACTCTTATCTTTTAATAAGAAGTATAGTAGGCTAGTTACTAGTATTTTAATTTAAATATTATAGTAATTATAGACGAGTAAATATACTTGTATATCTAGAGTAACGAACTACCTACGTGTTCTTGAAATATAAAAGACTGGGCTGGTTTGCTTTTATGTGTCTCGATATGATTCTTTTTTTGCGTATCTAAGAAAACAAAGGAGAGCCTCCCCAGATAATCCGGGGGCTTTTACACTAAGATCAACAAAAAACAACGTACGAGTTTTATTCTTAAATCACTCTTCGTCTCTAAAATCAGCTACTACAGGTGGGTATCTCAGAAATCAAAATGCAACCTCCCATCCCTTCCCATATCTCCAACGCCTAGAATATATACATCCGTGTCTTTCTCCTTCTCTTTATTCCTCATCGCCAAAACTCAACTTGATCTTCTTGCCTACTTTCTTCTTCGCAGCAGCAGGCTTCTTAGGTCCAACCTCCGCTTTCGCATCACCCTTCTTTCCCTCAGTCTTTCCCGACACTTTCGCCGTCTTCTTAACATGTTCTTTAGCTCTCTCATATGCATATGCATCCCCCTCATCCTCCTCCCCACCAATCACCTTCCCAACCTTCCTCTTCCTACTACCTCCAATAGCAGCTACCCGTTCCTCCTTCCCCTTTTCCATCCCATCCGTCGCATCGCCTTCTCCACCCTCTCCCTCTCCCGTTTCTGACGTCTCAAGCTCCTTCTCTTTCTCTTTCTCCTCCCACTCGGACTTTGTCAAGGTCTCCCCGCTCTCCTCGTTGAAGTATACCGGCTCGTCTTCTGCTTCTTCCTCTGCGGAGCGGACCTTTTTGGGACGCGCGATGGTGTATGAGTTGCGCCCGTCTGAGGAGGCGTTGGTGGCTTGGAGGCGGGCGAGGAAGGGGGGGAGGGTGGTGTCGTAGGAGAGGTTTTTGGGGGTTATTTTTGACATGTCTTGGGAGTGGTTGAATGGGTTTGTTATGCGGGGGATTGATGTGAGTGTGAATGCAGGTCAATGGGATTGTTGGAATTGGCTCTTGGGCTGCGTGCTAGTATGTCATTGTGACGCCACACTGAACTGGGTAGGTGCTTTGTAGAGTAGATGGCGCTAAAGATCGGATGAGCGGTTGGCCTGGTGGTTGGTTGAAACGAGGTGGTAAACATAAACAAGCTCTACAAAAAATAGCTAATATAAAAATATTCTGGCGCAGCTGGTAGATTGTTATGTGAGGTAATAGAGCTGGATGGCTTGCATGTGTACCTTACGTACTGAGCTGTATGAGTAGCTGTACAGGATGGTCATATCAGGTGTGTAGTCATAGGTAGTCAGCGAATCAGCCTCAATCGATAGGGCGTATCAACGATACGGTACAGGCAAAAGCTCGGCTGTCTTTCTGCTTCAACGTTGAGCAAGGCATACATCGACCTTTGGTATTGACTTGGTTCGAGTATATAGTACGGACTCGGTAGATACCATCGCATAGAGCATAGTTGCATAGGGCATACTTGTAGTACTTGGTAGAATGGAATTGCCACAGGTCCGTTCACGTTCACGACGTTGAAAATTGCAGATGGCGAGGCAATTGCAAGCAATCACGGAAGCTGGTTATCGCGCACAGGCAGGCGGGAGACTGGATGACTTAGGGGTTGCCGTGGCCGTTGACGTTGCCGCTGCCATTTCACACCACACCACCAGGTATTGGATGTCTAAGGACAGCAGCATTTCATCACCAAGTAAACAGTCATCACTCTCGCCAGCGGTTGCATTGTGAATGCTCAACAAAACACAACACTCGCTCGCTTGCTGCTGCCACTGCCCTCCTGCTTCGGGTGCTAAGTTTGGTTCTTGCCAAGATAATCACAGGGGTTTTCCTTTTAGCCGAGACGGGATTCCTCTCTCCTCTCTCTGCAGCGAAAGCCCAGCAAGGTTCCAACTCCTAAATCGTGACAGTCCCGCGTCTTCTGTCCACAAAAACATCCATCGTCCAACCTCCCCGCTGGGTGTCGACGACCACCACAATTTCCCCTCCAAAACGACTACGCATTGGGCGTCCGAGGTTCATCGCCACGAGTCGACCGCTCTGGACTCCATTTATCTCCCAATCGAACGCGTCATCGCATCGCAGCAACTCCCCTTCTCGAGGATCTCTCCTCCAGTCGCTCGTTACCAGCAACTCCCGGGTCTGTACGTAGGGTTGCCTTGAGTATTACTACAACCCATCCATCAATTCATCTTCAGACCGCGCTCCAGAATATCATATCCTAATCGCAGCCCGATTGTCGACCTCTCCTCCTAATTGGGGCCGACCAAAGCTCCCCTATCTCGAATTCCCACGAATCCCAGGAGAAGATCGCAAATATGGGTTTCGTACAGAGAGTCATGAAGAAGTTGCCCACATCACCGCCTCTGCCAACGGTGGACGAGGGCAAGACCAAGTCGAAAACAAATTCTAGATTAGCCTTCTTTCGCCGGCCGCTGAGATTAAAGGGCAATTCGAGCATATCAATACCGCTTGGGGTCGTTTTACTATTTCCATGTATTGTTGTAGTGTTGATTTTGGTGCTTTTTGTCCGCCATCCTAAATCGGGAGTCGGTATACTAATGCCAGCTGGAGCACCACCAGCTATCAGGTTTGTGGAGCCCCAAAATCTGCGATATCGTTGAGCCTTTGCTAATTGGGGTTGGAAATAGAAAAATCAGTGAGGAGCATGATAAGGTATTTGTGACGGGATGTTTAGAGCCCGATACATCGAAACCAAGGGCCAACGCAGCCTTCGTGGTTCTGGCGAGAAATAAGGAGTTGGATGGGGTCATTCAATCCGTCAAATCCATCGAGAGGCATTTCAACAGATGGTATAACTACCCATATGTTTTCTTGAACGATGAGAAGTTCAACGAAACTTTCAAGGAGACCATTCAGAATTATACAAGTGGAACAGTGGAATTTGGACTAATCGACCCAAAAACCTGGGGATTCCCCGATTGGATCGATCCCAAGGTTGCTAAAGAGGGTATTGCGAAACAAGGAGATGCTGCAATCATGTACGGTGGAATGGAAAGTTATCATGCCATGTGCAGATTTTACTCGGGGTATTTACTATGTACGATTTGCAAAGATAAGCGCTGACAGGTGCCAGATTTTTCTACAACCACGAGCTTTTGGACAAATATGAATGGTACTGGCGCTTGGAGCCAGAGATCAAGTATTTCTGCGACATCACATAGTAGGTGCTCCTTCCAATATTACGCGCGAAGCAACTAACAATATCTAGTGATCCATTCCTCAAAATGATCGAGACAAACAAGACATATGGTTTTACAATTGCGGTCAAGGAATTGAAGGAGACCGTGCCCAACATCTTCCGATACGCATCAGCATACAAGAGAGTCAACAATATTACATCACAAGGCTTGTGGGAGATGTTCGTAGAGCCTCAGCCAGATAAGCCAGAGGAAATTCCAGAAGATGACCCCAACTACAAGCCACCTCTACCCGAAGAGATTATCCGTGGCGATCCATCTCGCGCTTCTCTGCCAGACATCGACCCAGAGGCAATGGAAGGCGAAAAGTACAACATGTGTCATTTCTGGTCCAATTTTGAAATTGCAAAATTGAGCTGGTTCAGAAGCAAGCCATATCAAGACTTTTTTGATATGATGGATCGCAGTGGGGGTTTCTGGATGGAACGAGTGAGTGAAATCTACCCTAGCTTTTCCCAACAATACTAACAAATTCCAGTGGGGTGATGCTCCAATCCACTCTTTGGCAGCCGGGGCGCTTCTAGCACCCAAGGATATCCACTACTTCCGTGATTTTGGTTATCGACACACCACCATTCAGCACTGTCCTGCCAATGCTCCTGCACGTCAATTAGAACGTATCCCATGGCTCGAAAAGACCACATTGGATGAGAAAAAACGACGTGAAGAAGATGAGTACTGGGAGTCGTGGGATCCAGTCAAGGAGAATGGTGTAGGCTGTAGATGTAGATGTGATACCGATATCGTTGATGTGGAAGGAAAGCAGGGATCTTGCTTGGCGGAATGGGTTGACGTAGCGGGTGGATGGGCCAGTCCTTGATAAATAATGCTGTAGAAAACGAAACTTGGAATGGGGGGCCCGTGAGGCGTGGGGGTTGGGGGG